AAAATATTTAGATTAATTGTATGCTATTAACTATTTATACCACGAACCTATTCACACTGTTCTACTGTAAGTGGTACTTATTGATTCAAAAGTTAGTATATTAAAGAAATACACACACTATTATAATAGTTGAATAATAATAGCATAATAAGTGCGATGTTTTCGTAAAAATTAAATATATGATTATGGGTATCTACCGTAATACTATTAGTAGGTAAAATAAATGACTTTTATGGTATTATATCCGAAAACATATCATGAATCAATATACTTGATATTATGGGCTGAGTACTTTAGGAAATCAAAATATTATAGGTACAATTATGTATAGTTAATATTTTAATAATATTATAGGCAGACAGACCATCTTCGCTCAAAATCGTTTTTCGTATGGATACAATTATACATTAATACAATATCATTGAATTTCAATTTAAAACATTCATTACGATGATCCACTTCACACTTGACACATATACGAGTACCTACTGCTCAGCAGACCGGTGTCTACTATGGCACCGTTTTATTCAATTTTATTTATAGAATTTTTGATTGACATTTCGCAAGTCAAATGTAATCAAGGTTCCCTTGAAGTTGCTCTCGCGTCTTACAAGTTACAATGTGAAAATGGGACAAGAATTAAATGTTGACATGCTTTCTGAGCGCAAAATTCGATTCGTGTATTAAAGAATCAAAAAATTCAACTTTTATCAACTTTTTTGATTTTTAGGGTATTTTAAAAATTTTAAATTTGGTTCCCGAAATATTATTAAAAAATGCGTATATTTAGATACATTTTTTTCTCAAACTGTGTACTTACATACCTACTTTACGTTTGATGACGGAGAATAGTGAATACAGTAGCAGACAGCAGTGAACTGTTAATTACAAAGAATTGTACCTACAATTTTAGCGAATCTTTTCGTTATCAATTGATAAATAACTTGGTTGTAAGTAAATCGGTACTTATAAAATTGTAAGGGTAATTGCGGAAATCCGACGATTCATAAGACTTGATTTAACTACGATAACATCGATTTACTATTACTATTGTGTTTCGAGCTATAAATTGAAGTATTGAACAATACGTTATATGTGAAATATAACACATTTCTTCACATATGTTTAAAATAATAAACATTTTTTCTTTTTTAAATTAAATCAATGCTTTAATGCGTTAAGTATTAAGTGCCTAGTATTTTATAAGGGCATTTTCGAGATTTCAGTTTTTGACTTGGAGGGGCTTTACATATTTAAATGAAACAGACTCGTGGGGGTCTTTGCTGTCCTCTTCAAACAACTTCAAAAGTTTAAAATATATTACTTTATGTCATGTATCTAATATAACATAATAGATTTATCATTTTTTTCTCACTCACTTTCCTACATTTATATACACATTATAACACATCTACCTATTACTAAAATGAAAAATATTTCTATCAAAACCAATTAACATTTAGGTACTTATTTATGTTTTATAATTGATAATAATAATTATAACTGTTAGATCGAAATTTCAAATGTATAAAAAAAAACTATGTTATCGAGTATTGACTATATTCTGAACATATTGAAATGTTATCAATTATCAGTAAAATGTATTGTAATTTGTTTATAATTTGTAATACTATTATATTAAACATAAATTATATTATGCTCTATGGGTGGATTCGATATCTACTATGGAAAACACACGAATAATATGAATCGTTGTTTAGACTAGAAAATAATTTCTTCAAAGAACTTTGACTGAATTATGTATATTAGATAACTAATGAAGGATTTAATATTTCCATCAAACTACAATTTTTTGGAGTGGCTATTTTTAATATTGGAAAGGCTAAGCCCCTCCAATAACCCCCCAAATTGCGCCTTTGTCTATTATTCTTTCAGACTTTTTTGGTTTCGCCTATTCGTTGTGCCCTCAATTTTCTACTCTCAATTGTCGGCAACTCGGAAACAATAACTCGCTACCTGATGGCTGAGACTCTGAGAGGTTAATATTAATATGTTTTTATAAAACAAAATAATTTATTATTATTATCTTGTAATGCAATGTCGGTATTGTAATCGATCGGAGCGCTGTTTGTGTGCCTGAACTCGGTGACAACTGACCATCTTCAGTTCCCTACTTTGTTGTACCATTACTTTTAATTATTATGGCTTCTTTCGAAGTTATCATCGCTCGTCTGTACTGCAATTATTATTATATTCCTCCTTCGTGGACACCGTCTCAATAGTAGATATATCTAGTGTGATTTTTATAATTTTGTTTTGCATAAAAAAGTCTAATTCAATTTTCAATTGAATCCATATAGGTTAGGGTACCATTGTTATTTTATATATGGACAATATGTGGACTATAGGTACATATACATTGATATACATACAGAGTGTAACAGAAAGAACTATCAAATAAAATAACTTTTGTTCTAATCTATATAACATTTTTTTTGTACAATGTACCCCCTAATTTATTGATTCTTGTGCTAAACTTATAACATACAATTTTTATTTTTATTTTTGAATACTGAAAATAAAAAAGTTGACAAGTGGGTAAGTACTGCTTTGTTGTATAGTAATTATCGAGTATGTCATTGTAATGGATGTGTTGGATTTGCATTCAAAGATATATTATTGTATACAAAAACGATTCTGAGCGGGGACTGCAGTGTCAGCTATTCAGCAATTAAAAAAATAATTAACAAAAATCCAAAAATATCATAACTCTCCGATGAATATTTTTTTGTTAGAAGTAGAAAAACTTGTGAGGTATCTTCTTTTAAAATTTCTAATATCAGCTATATTTAACATTTCGTGAAAATTTCAAGTGACAAATTGTTTTTGAATCACATTAAAATATCAAAAATCGATTGATTGGGAGTTCGTTAATTTATCAGTGAAAAGTCGAATATCCTAAAAATGTTATATTACTACTTTTCGGTAAAATTGTTTTTCTTGTTAACGGTATAAAAACATGGAGGGAATCTTCTATTAAATTATCTATGTTATAATGTTACCTATGAAAAGAAAATGTTGTATGAATTTCTTACTGAAAAATAATTTGCAATTTTTATGATTTTGAAGAATTCCGTTGAAATTTTAACTTCAGACAATCATAAAAATTGATTGTGGATTTATGCTCAAATTTTATTTTTAATAACGTTATTTACAACATAATATGTGAAACCTTGTTTTTATTACATCATCAAGTTTTTTAAGCACGCAAAATAAAAAGTTTATGATCTATAATAATTGAATAAATTGAAAATTTCTCATGGCTGTAAATAACTCAAAAAGAGTCTAAATATTTTGAAAATTTGATCAATGATCATGTATGGAAAATGGTAATTTTAAATAGGTTAAAAATTATCTAAAAAAATAAATGATGTCGTAAAAAAGTTTGTTGTTAGATTCCAGAAAAAAAATGCAAACGCTTCGAAATCCAAGCCCTAATGGTAAATAATAACTAGAGCTCTGATTTATATGTATTTACTTAGCCAAAGTATGTATTATACAACAAAAGTATGTGCTAAAAAAATTAAAATATGTAGGTATTATAAAAAAAGCGGGTAAGTGGATGTCACTCTGCTCTACAGTAGGTTATACGTGGTTTACTGCAATGGACTAATGGGTGTTGTTAAATTTGAATTTAATGATATAAAATCATTGCACACCGAAAAGATTCTGAGCAAAGACGGTCTGTCAGCCTATTATATTACTTAGTATATTTGATGATATTATTGTGTAATTATATAAAACTGTGTTTTTATATCTTTTTTAGATTTTTTGGTTACAAAATAATTTACGCATGTGATACCTTGGTATAAATTTGCAATCCTCAACTATATAAAAGTTGAACACTTAATACATTTTTAAACTACAAAACAACTTTAAATTTTAAATTTTAAAAATGTTATCAAAATTTAAACTTTGAATGCTTATAAAAATAAATAAATTTCTATGTATTTTAAATATTTTTTAACAGCTGTTGTAACAATAAACCAGGAACCTTGTATTACATATTCAAGTTTTTTGACCGATTAAAAATGTTTTTATCGACATAAGTTTTAAAAAACTAATAATAATTGAAAATGTTATATGCCTATTAATAACTCAACATGAGTCAAAATATTTTGAAAATCGTATGGTGTATAGAAAATGCTAACACAACAATTCAGTAAAAATGTCATGTACCTACGGTAATTTTTGTTAGAGTTACACTAAAAACCAAAATCGATTTTCTCGAAAACTGGTTTCGCGTAAAAATTCCCGTTTTTCTTTAAGTTTTTGTTTGTATTTCCTGTTGCTTTTGAAAACTATTAGGAATTTTAAATTTTGACTTCCTGAATGCACCAACTAGGTTTATTTTCCTACCAGAAAAGTTGCTATTAAAGAAAATCGAAGCACTTTTATTGTTTCAAACCTTGATGACAGACACTCAGACACACACAAAAAAAATTATTTATTTATAAAAAACACACATCATTGTTAAATCATTACATTCATCGCTCCTCTCAGAATCTAAAATGTTATTAGAGTAATAATATAATACGAGTAGTGCATGTTACAGATACCTAGGTACTAGATTAGTATTAGTGTATTAGTATTCACTATTCGTTATGATTTTTTCAAGTATCAATGCTTACATACGGGTGTACTTGAGGAACTTACGTATACCTATGCATGGTGCATACTCTTATGACCTTATGAGTGGGCGATTATTATTACCTACTAATTTCTTGTGGCCATGTATGGGAACTTACATTTATTTATACACTATGATTGAATTGCTTGACTACCGACTGGTCTGTAGACGGATTCCAGTGGGTACGCAAATGGGCGGCCCTGACCGATCGATAATAATATTATTACACGGCTCGACCACACCGAAATAGTTAGGATAGAGACATAGAGTATGTTATAACACATTGATGGAGAATCATTGTATTTACTAACCCATCATAATAACAATTGACATCGAAATTGAAAAACGTTCATTCTTGTATGTTTCGTATGTTCTTTAGTTGCACTATCTTCGAGCCTTGCTCGCCATAATCGGCGCGATTGATGCACACCCGTTGAAAGTACGACGACGATGCCACCACGGAGCCACCGATCCAAGTGGAATACTCGCGCTCGGGCGGCGCGGTGATCCTAACCTCCGTGCCGGGCAACCCCTCGTCGATCATCGCCTTTAACCGTTCAGGAAACGCCGAGAACAGCGTGTTGCCGCCGGCCAACAAGATGTTATCGTACAGGTCGTTTCGTTCGTTGACGTTACAATCGCCAATAGAATCTTGTACCATGTTGTGAATGCCATCCTTGACGGGCTGGTTGACGGCGTGTGTGAGCAAAGAGGGATTAAACAGCGCTTCGGGGCATCGAATGCTGAAGATTTCGAAGCGAAGAAGATTTTTTCGTTCAACCCGGTCCACAGTGGTCCAGAATAAGTTTACAATGGAACAAAATTTCATATTTCGATTAATCATATGTTTTTAATTTTTTGTTATATAAATATTACATATTTGTTTTTAACGTTTATCATCACATAATCTAATTACCTGTACTATTGGACAATTTCACGTTTTATTCATTGATTTCATTTGAATAAATTGTTATTATTATTAAAATTAATTTTTGTTCTTGATTTGGGTTTGTAAATGTCTTAAAAGTAGGTATTTACTTAAAAATAAAAATAAAAATAAAAACTTATTATTTCAATTTGTGTCTATTATCTAAATATATACTCATATAAATAAAATCGAAGTGTTTACCCGGAGATAATCTCTGAAACGGCTGAACCGAAGTCCATAGGACTTTCACTGTGAGTAAGGGTATTTTTCGGAGTATAATATAAGCCACATTTTATACCAATAAGAAACAAAAATGTAGGGCTAATACATTTTGTATAGTGAAATCTAATTGACAACTTTGATTGATAAATTGTATGATAACATAGTAATAGTGTCATTCTTCAATTATATAATGATTCACTCCTCTAGGCACTATCAAAGCGTAATAACAACTTGTCCTAATTAAAAAACAATTTTTTTTTTCTGTCCCATTATTAACTTATTTTCATGGCTATACTGTGGTATTCGAGTGAAACGACGATATTATTATTATTTAGTATTCAGAGCTTATTACTATAAAGCACATCTGGGCATATTTAGGGTTGGTTTGTAGGTACCTAGAAGTGAGCTAGTTGAGAATGCTACTGAAATTATTGCTCACTTCCCGTCCCAGACTAGAGGCCACACAGTAGACTATTTTGCAGTCTTGTATATAAAGTATATTTGAATAAAAGTATTCAAACACATCGCAAGTACTCGAATGCCTATTGTATATACTTTCTGAATGTATTCGTATTAAAATCAAATACTAATTTACAAATACTTATTATTATAAGCTTAAATTTTTTCTATTTAAATTTTTTATCTTCTAAAAATAAAATAAAAAGGTGGGCAAGTGGGTACCACTCTACTGTCTAAATACATTATAGATGTGTTAAATTTGAATTCAAATATATAAAATCATTGTAAATATGTAGCCATGTACATACCAAAAAGTAAAAAACGGTTCTAAGCGAAGATGGTCTCTCAGCCTATTTTACTATCAGTAAATTGTATGATATTATTGCTATTAGTCATTCATTTTACTATTAATACAACAGTAGGCAAAATTAGTTTTTGGTTATAATATGAAATAACTATGAGAAACCTTGTTTTAAATGTTTAATCTTAGGCTATCCACATTGAGTGAATTTTAACTTCAAAATAATTCGCAAATGTTAGAAGTTTTGATATGTGTTGTCATCATTTGAACTTTAAATGCTCATAAAAATATATTGTGTCTAAAATATTTTTAATCTGCTATTGTAAAAACTTTTAATGAACCTCATATAAAATTGTAGAGGTTTTTTAATGTACCAAGCAAAAAAATATTTATCGACCATAAATTTAAAAATACTATTAAAAATTGTACATTTTCTATGACTATAAATAGCTTAAAAATAGTCAATATATTTTGAACATTTTACTGAACAAAAAAAATCATTGAATATTTGAGTTTAAATTTAATACCATCAATTACAGTGACCTTGTACAGTATAGAGGGGTATCTATCTTTTCAATTTTCAATTTAAGCCCGTAATAACAGATATACCGATTACATAATGTCTGTAAGGTATCGCGTGACCAAAATTTTGCCACTTAAATATTGCGAAACCAATAGGAGGTACCTATATACAAATAATATTGCCAGTCAATAATCTCATTTGTATTTTTTGCATCTAATATTATTGAACGCATATTATTATCTTAACTATAAATTGTTAATTGCTGCATGTGTTTTTATATTATTTTACTTTATTGTTTTTTTAGTCTATTTTTATTTGAGTGAATTGTATTTGAGTTGAGTAAATATACAATGTTTCAATTATATATTTTTCTTTATTTTATTATAAATAAATTTCCATTACAATAAATATAGATGATTTAATGTCAGGGAAACTTTAATAAATAAAAAAAGTTAACTATTGAATATTATATATATCGTGGAATAATTATGTATAAGTATGTACTGTGTGTACAAATGGATACCAAACTTTTTTTGATCAGGTCACCTTAAAGAATAAAACAAAATCGATTGTGTATTCCTTGAATAGATGAAATACAATTGTTTATTATTTAAATTCTTATGACAAAAAATAAAAGTAAAAGAATAAACAAATAAAATGTATAAAAAAAAGTTCATTCGTCTAATTTGTAAAAAAATATATAATTTAATCATTTAACTCATGGTGTGAGTAAATCAAGTTTTAATTTATTTAACTATAATTAAAATATAAAATAATTTAGTACCTATCTATCTATACTCAGTGGTATATTTATATGGGGTCCAGTATCCCTGGACCCCATATAAAGAATATAATGTAAATTATGTTTGTACAAATATGTTAAGGATAACAATAAATAAATAACAATTTTCTGATATCAAATACCTATAAAATGTTAGAATTAACAACATTTTTGGATCCCCTCTTGGAGAAAAGTTGAAAATACGCCACTTTACATGATATATTATAGGGTACTAACAATCAAATATCTATTGAAGATTTTATATTTGAGTTATACCTATATAGTACATTATAGGTAATTAAGTTGCTGCGATATTTTAATGGCGATGTTTTGGTCACACGATAGTTTGTCGGTATTATGTAATAAAATACTAACGCTTCATTATTGATGTTTACTATCATTCCGTCTGGCAGCGTGTATCTCTGTTCCTTGTCCTTGCCAAAATTTGCCAGTTCTTTTTCAAAGTCTACAGCACTGTAGCAGAACTCTTCTTTTATGTGTTTAATTCTTCCCCAGTCTTTCATCGTGGTCAAGCTATAACCTCGGCCGTTAATCATTTCCTTGAGGAACTGAGTCAAGTGCCATCCGCCGATTGGCATACATCTTAAAGCGTGCGTGATCGGAAATCCTTCGTAAATGGGAACGATTTGTGTGCTCTGGTATCCGGAATCGACCACCAGACCAGTGGTCTTGCCGATGCTGTACAGGGCAAGTGACGACTTGTTTATCAATGACATCTGGGGCACGTTGAACACTTCGAACATGACCTATATAGATAAAGCAATTAATAGGTAAAACGGATATCGAATACCATAAGTATTCATAACACGTTTAGTACATAACTGTGACCATCTTATAACGATGCCGGTCATAACTAACTACATAACAGGGTAATCGACGTTAATTTCGAGGTCTGCAGTGCAAAATGCGGTTTATTTATATGTACATTTATTAAACGACAACTGGTTTTAACCTGCATTTGTACGGTTCCTTGGCCGCCGTTATAGATGATACTGACTGTAGTAATAAATTATTACTAGGCACTGGATGTTTATGACTTGTGTATTTCTTTTGGAACACCATAAATGATGATTTACAAGTTACAACCTATAGCTTAACATGTGTTTAAGCAACAAAGGTACCTACAAATGTCGGAATGTACATACATAATTTTAATTTTGCATTTTTTCCTTAACAGTTAATTTTGTGACTTTTAAAGTCATGATGTGAAGTTTTCCGGAACTTACTGTTTTTTTTTAACAATGACGAGTTAATTTATATTTGTCATTATTACGTTTTTATATTTTCCATAGATAAAAAAAAACCAAAACTACATTACGTATGTTTATAACCATAATTTTAAATTTCAAGATTAATCAATAGTTTTATAAACTTCAACATTTTAAAAATATTTAGTTCATTAACAAATTAAATTTTTCGGATCATTTTTATAGGTTTTCTATGGCATCAACATCCGGAACCTAATTGTTACTAATTATTAATCTGGTACGATTCAACAAAATGAACAGTGTACAATTTCTTAAATGTCTAGACATGATAGTGCCATAGTGGTATATAAGTGTTAATTTCATTTTGGAAACATACCTATATAGGTATTGTATAAAAATATTTTGATTTGAAGTACGAAAAAAATTTTTGGTTTTATATCCGCTCAATTTTTTTTAAATATTAGAAAAATCATTTTATAGATAACCAACAACAATTTTAATGTTTGAATCAAGTTTTAATAATTAAATAAAATTAAACCTATTTAAATAAATATACTTATCATAATCAATCTCTTAGTGTAATCTTGTTATGTTTTATATGAGTTAAATATTTTAAATACAAATGGTCTTAGACTTTTAGGTATACCTAGATATTTGAATAATATGATATTGACCTCATAAAGTTTTTCACGACTCGGAATTGGATTATGAACCGGCTCTGTGAGCAAAATCGCATAATTTTCTGGTGGTATCATTAACTGTTCGTAGAACATATGAAACCAAACGTCTTCCATAGCATCCCAATCAGTAATAATGCAATCATCTATCGGAACACTGGTTTTTAAAATACCCTGGTTGTCTTGGCAAAACTGACCACCATAAACGGGTCTTTGTGAAGATCCCAGTAGGACAAGCTATAAACATAAATGATAATATTATACAAAACCATCCAATACTTAATATATTAAGAATTATTTTTTAATTATGATTTAAAAAAATATATATAATAGGTAATTTAGTTTTTTAATATAATGTGGGTGTATTTAAAGTTTATTTTAATATACAGGATCATTCACCGAGCATGCACACCCACTTTTTTCTTCAATAATGCAGTTATACAAAATATGATTTTTGAAAATTTTAAATAATATTCTTACATCGTAGGTATTTTTAAATTCATGAGATTTTTTACTACTTAAGGAGTATTCTGTACTCCTGTCGAAATCCCTAATTTTGAACTGTAAATTATTCAGTGGATAATTTTTCTACAAAATTTGAGGTATCAGAATCAAAATTCGTACGAGTAAGTAATTTTTGAGTTATTTACCTTCGTGTTCTAGGATAAAAAGGTTCATGATAATGATCAATGGCTTATAAAATATAGAGGCTATGATTATTTGAAAATATTGGTCATTAAAATGTGTTTATCAACATTGATAATTTGTAAAAATAGCCCAAATATGATAAATCCTAGTTTCAATATTATGTACGTGTATTTTATATTCTTGTAAAGCAATTTTAAGGACTATTATCCTTAGGATAGACATTTAACTAATTAAGAAATAACTAATTTGAATTTTAAATTAGGTTCATACAATTTTAAAAAAAATTATGCACTAAATAATTTACAGTAGTTAAAATAGGGGTGAACCACTCTTTAATTACATAGGTAATTATTATAATATTTATTTGTTGAACCTATTTAAAATATTGATATTTTACCAGATTCTAGGCCATAATAGCAAAAAAAAAAATGCCAATATATTTTAACCAGCCAATTTCTATGAACCATATAATTTTCTAAATAGTGCATAAGTTCCGAGGGGGATTAGTCTTTTTAAAATTATTGTCGATACAAATTTTTCGCCTGGTCAAAAAACTTTGAAATATAATGCAAGGTTTCTCATAAGCTTCTGTTGGTATAAATTAAGAAAAAATTAAGTGCTAATCCACAGTCATTTTATATGAACGTCTAAAATTAAAATTTTGACAGATTCATCAAAACCGCGAAAATCGGCAAAACTATTTCGAGTTAGAAATTCATAATAAGATGTTCTATGTATAACTGAGATTTGAAATTTGTATACAAGATTACGCTCAATTATTCCTACATTTAACAAAAAAAGTTGAATGGAAAGTCAAATTAATATTATTCGAGCTTTGAAGTTATTGACATTAGATATTCACCCGTAAATTAACAAATCCTCATACAACGGTTTTCTTATTTTTTTTTACTTCAATTTTTTATTTCTATATTCTACACTTTAAAAATATGTTGACTAGTTTTGAGTTATTTATAGACATCTAAATTTTTTTAAATAATGAATATGAAAGTAAATATATGAATATCAATGAAACTTTTTTTTTGAATCTAAATGATTGAAAATGTAATACAAGGTTCTTCATTACTCATAAGTAGTTTTAATAGCACCTGTGAAGTATTAAGCATCCATATCATGGTTTTTTTTTATAAGTATTTAAAGTTCAGATTTTGACAAAATGTATCAAAATCTTAATTTTTGTAGCTAAGAATTAAAAATTTAAAACAAGAATTCTTATAAATTGTTTATAATATAAACTGTTTCTTTTTTCGACATTTTAAATTTGGGTGATATTACTTATATTTATATTAAAATCAAGAATAACGATATTAACGATTTAAAATATTTTTCGTGGGTACTGAACACTTTTAAAGTTCATATAATTATATTGTATACATTATACATATTAAAACATTTTCAAATGCAGTTTTTTTCGGTAAACATTTATTTAATTATTTAAAGTATTAATGTAAATAGTAAAATGTATTATTTAATTACAATGATATCATATAATTTACTTAGAAATATTATAGACTTCCAGAGTAGCAATCTTCGCTCAGAATCGTTTTTCGTATACCTACAATGATTATTGAATTTAAATTTAACACATCCATCACAGTGACTCTGTAAACAGCTTATGTTCAGCAGAGAGTTACCCACTTACCAGTTTTTTAAAAATTTAATTTAACGAAATTTAAAAACTAAATTTCTTAAAAAATATTAATTTTATTACAATTTTTGCATCGTTGTGATTTCTAAAGTTTTTTTCTTTTTTGAACGACACCATACATTTTTCACTTTTTATTTCATATTCCTAAGTAGAGTATTGTTTGGGGTATTTTAACGTATAAAAATCAAATTTCGGGCAAGTAGGTATTTCATTAGTTTTAGTATTATTTAAAGCTTAGATGAGCGGAGAAGTGGACAGCATGGTCCAAGATTTGATCTTTACAGATTGAAATACTTCGAATAATATTTTGTGTCGGAATATGAAATTCAAAATGAGTGATGGCCTTCAAAAAAAAAAAATACTTTAAAAAGATATAACAAAAAAATATATTAAAAATATAATATTTTTCAGAAATATTGTTTTGAAATGACATTTTTCAAAAAAAATTTTTTTTTATAGTTGAAAAAGTTCTAAATAATAAGTGTAATTAAGTCCATTTATACTTTATATTATATATAATATTACATAATTACGTTTAATACAATCTATACAAAAATCCTTCAGTAATCTAAAGTCGATTACATAATAGTAACCTGACGATTTTTACTTAAATTTAACATATTATGTAGGTAGGTACGAGAAATTAATTACATTTTGTGCTCTACAAATTGTTCGCTTACTTCTTCCCGTTGTTCTCCATGTCTAGTTGGAATTAATATTTGGGGTAAATGTTCACCCGCAAAACCAACTTTCAGCGTATGAGAACCATTATCACATACTATTGCAGAGCTATCAGCTAGAAACGAAATTTATTCATATATATCAATAACTAATGACAAGTGACATATTTTTTTTTTAACTATAAAATATAATATAGATAGGTACTGTATGGACGTGTTCAAGGCTGGGCATTGACGAGTAAAAAAGTTTAAGTTAACTAGTTATAATGATTACTTTTAACTAAGTTAGGTACATATAACGAGTCATATTCCCACGATAACTATATCTTGGCAATTAAGGAAAAAAATAAGAATAATTGGAAGTATCAAATATTATTCATGAAATTGTTACTTGATATGCATTGTAAACCAAAATTGTACTGTCGAAATGTCACTATTTCTGATTACCATAATATACTTTTCAAAGTAACTTAGATAGTTGTATAAATTACAAATACAAATTTATATAAAATCTGTGAAACGAATAAATTAGGTATAGTTGTATAATGATTAATGTTTATTATGTAAATAGAGTGATAAGTAACGGATATGACATAAAAATATCAAAAAATACTAAAAAAAGCCAAAAATTTTACTTTATCAACTCAATAATAATGACTAAAAAAATGAACAATATTTTTTGTAGTCACGCAATTACTCAACCGATAGGAAAACTCGATGGTTGAACTTTTGATTTGAGTACACCATAGAAATACTTTATTAAATTACCTAACCTGAGAATCAGAAATGTTAACGAAAACACAGCATCAGTACATTCCTGCTTTCGTTTGGAACCTTAAAAATATCTTTATTGCAACTTTGACTAATGCCTGGATAACCAAATTACGAATCTGGCACAATCACAATGTATTAATATGATTTATTATAGTGTACAAACGACGTACCTACATCATACTAAGTAAATGACAAACGACATAATAATTAATAGTACATTTTATGATTTAACATTTTGGTAATTTTGCACTATTTTCGCTATATCTCGTAGTAAGTAATTATTAAAATAATGATGATTATTATTTCATGCTGTACTGTGTACTTGTATGATTTTATATTTTTATTTTTCTTTCCTTCAAAAGTTTCCATCGCCACGTCATAAACAATTTATGTGAAGTAGAAAATATAGTGTTCTAACATCTAACACCAAACACTAAAGACTAACCATAGGCCCATAAAAGTATTACGCCCACGAAAATTGTACGCTCGGGGATCAATCCCCGCCTTCACCTCCAAGTTCTGCCACTGGGGAAAACCAAAGGTATAGTTCTTAATTTGTTTATGAACAAAAGAAATTCATTTTTAACCAAGTTAGATGACTCTTTTTTAGTTAATTTGTTTACAGTTTAATCATAACCTTTTTACTGTTCAAAGTTACAAAATATAACTGTCTCACTTTTAATTTTAAATTTAACTTAAATTTTTGAATTTATCTAAATTAACTTGACTCAATGAGTTAAAAAAATTAGTGATCTTGTCCAGCATTAGAAAAGTATGCATCTCAAGAAACCATCATAAAAGTTTCACATTTGAATATACGTATTATCATTAGATATTACCCAGATGGCTAGATACAAAACACGATTTTTAGTTATGCAGATAGATACATATTCACGAATTTATGGTAATATTAAGACTTAAAACATGCCAACATAACATATAATTAAAAAAATCTATTTTAAATAGACATTCGTACATTACATTAAACGTGTTTATAAAATGTTTAGTTGCATTTTATTCTGCAAATACAAAATTGATACTAAACATTAGGTATTCATGCTTTTCAGAACCATAACATTATTTTTTAATTTCATAATTTGTTTTAGATTTTAAAAAAAAATACAAACACTTTAACCTTACCTAAGTTAAGTGCGAAGCAATACAAATGTCTAACGCTTTTCTCGGCACATTTTCTGGTGAGCTTATTACGTACCTATCTATTATACAATATTTTAGTTACAGCTATATAAATAGTTGTTTAAAAACTAAATACAGTGTTTAAATTCCACTTACCAGAAAAATCGAAAGAGATGTCCGTCATGGTTTCAGTAATTACCGTACTTAAAAAAAAAAAATTAAGTACTAACTGAAATTGTCACGTTTAATATTGAACACTGTGAAAATTAAAATTAAACTTAAATATAATCCATCATACATTGTTTATCTTCATGTGTGAGGTGTTTCTATGCAAATCATATTATTTCCAAAAAAGTATTTTTTTAAATAAACACTTTCGTTTAGGACCTTAGTGGTTAAATTCTACAATAGACCTTATACCGGAGTATATACTATACTAAATACCCATGAATTACAGTAATCTGCTTTGCTCTGGCCGGTAGCACATTGGAGATTATCCATTGTTTCATGTTTGCATACATATTAACAAAACTGGGCAAGTTAACCAATTTTTTCAACTAACTTAAGTTCAGTTATCTTTAATAAAAAAAACCATTCTAAGTTAAAGTTAATTTTAAGATATAAATGAATTTGAGTGACAAAGCTAAGTTATAAATCTTCTGAAAACAATTTAATATTACAGTAAAACCTCTTTATAATAGAATGGCTTGGTACTAACTGATTTTTCTGTTATAAGGAGACTAAAATATACGGTGTATAGGTCAGGGGTGGACCTGAATCTTGTTTAAGGGGGGGGGGGGGGTGGGATATTTTTGAATGATATATAATGTACAATGATGACTTGACCGCAATTTATCCAAGTAATTTATGAACAAATATGCACAAAGCTTATAAGTTATAATTAACTGCAGGTTCCTTTATTTAATTATAGAATAGTATAAAAATTCATTACCTATTCAAAAATATCAAGTATTTATGTATATATAGTACATTTAATTATAATTAAATAAATCTTCTTTTATTTTTTTAATAAATTTTAATAAATGTAATTATTATGGAAACATGGTAGTAGTACTAGTTATAATCACGGGATTCGAGGTGCTAGGGTTAAAATTCAAGGTGCTCCCCTGCAAATTACGCCAATGCGTACAAGTCTATGTAACTATTATTATATAATTTATACTGAAAGTAATTGCAGACAAGGGGACATATAAGCAATTTTCTGGCCTCAACTCGTATAATGATTAAATAATTTATATATTATATTTTCTACAACCATAGTCTGTATAGTCCGTACAACAGTTTGCTGCAAGCATTCACAACAATCTAGTACTACTGGGAGCTTTTTTATATTCTTTTCAGTCTTTTAGCAATATAGCATAACATATTGAATGGTCCATGTCTTATAAGCAATTGGGAGTTGTGCAACCAGTATAATCTTCAACCGTGATCATGGTTCGTACAATACTACATTCATTACTGATAAGTGATAAGACGTTATGTTCTTAGTTCTTTCCATTTCTTTATCGTCCATCTTAAAGTAAAAAAATTATTAATTATTAATATTATTATTTATTATTAATTATCTACATAATAGGTAATTATTTACAATTTACGGTAGATACTATTTAAGTAGTAACTGCATACTATACCTAGTACCTAGTAAGTTGATGTTACATTATTGCAATTATATATAATAACATTAACTTATAAAGATTGTATCATTGTATTATGTAAACTTATGGTTATTTCGCCTTCTCAATATATTTCAAATTTTAGTTTACTTTTCCTCGTGCTTTCAAAACCAGTGTATAGAGAAAACTTGACAATCAATAAAATTCGTGAATTTCAGTTTAAATTTAAAATGGTTAGTACATTTTTATTACTTAATAGTCTAGGGATTGAACATCTCGTTGTAAAGCATAATTTGAATAACATTATTTTACTGTCTAGGATGTCTTTATGATAATACAAAGAAAAAATCAAACCATATTTCTAGATGCTAAAGACAACATATTGGTTAATAAACTCAAAAACAAGATTGGAAGTATGTATGAATTTTTTTTATTTTAGGTTTCTAAACATAAGCTGAGATTTTCAAACTGTAAGCATGCATACTATTGAATTTTCGCTCATCGCCTACCAAGGTGGCCGAGTTGCGCATATAGCCGCTCATCGGTGTGTTCGCAATTAAAATAAATATAAAACATATTATTTCAATAATACACAACAGGTAGGCATAATATACTGCTGGCATTATCACCATTGAGTCTCATATAGAGTTGGCATTTTTAATGGGCAACAAAGTGCACGGGATCAGCTAGTAATATTATAAAATATATGCCAATATAATTTGAAAATTACCAAATTTTTTTGAATTTCTTATAGAATTATAGTTTAGTGTGTTATATTAAAATACGATTAAAAATAGGGAATTGTTGCATGCTCATTAGTCATTATGGTATAATATATTATAATAACCGACCTTACAAGTGTAAGGATAAAAAATATAGTCTAAAATATAACTCTTATATAACTTATAAACAATTTTGGTAGTAAAATATGTACAATTGCCAATCTCTCCTATGTAAAAATTATATATTTGATCTTGTAGATAGACCAAATGGTGGCCATATCATTATCATGCAACTTGTAACTCAAAATTCTGATAACCCCTTTTGTGTAAACAAAAAATTGTGAAAACAATAAAGACTAAAATTTAATTATTGTATTTTTTTTAAATGTAGGTAGTACGTAACTAATTACTGTGTTACTATTTTAGGTATCATAAAAGTAGTACCGTCAAGTCTACAACTTTACTACAAAGATAAAATTATGGATGGCACAAAAACTTTGTCAAATTGTGGTTTGAATTCTATTACTGCTGAGGCATTAAATCCAGCTACTATTGGTTTAACACTGAAGTAAAAATAAGATATTAAAACATTTATAGATTTTTAATTTTGTTTGGTATTTTTAGGTTGGATAATGAAGAATTTGAACCATTGGAAATAGTACCATATCCATGACATGAAAACCATAAAACTACTATCCAACAAACACCCATTAAAACTGCATTCACTAAATAACATGTTTCAAAATAGATTTTTTTTAATCGTTAACGAGCAAGTGAAAATAGAATGTCATGCTAAATATTTTTTTTATTATATAACCTTATTTTTTATTTTGCTTATAATCAATTAACATGTCATAAATAATAAAATAAACACTAAATAAATTAAACAATATACCAAGTTATTCAAATTTGTTGCTTCAAACAATACAGGTGATTCTTTTATCACAAACCACTCATCGTTTCAAAAAATATTAATTATTTTGAAAATATTTTATTACAAGGAATTTAAGTTCTTGCAAAACAGTGGTTTTTAAAAAAAATATTTTTTATAGCTACATAAAAATCTACAAATTTAAGTTACTGACCTGCTCAATGTCTATTGGTTGATAGTTGTCTTATTTTAAATAGCCTGTTAACAGTTTTTACAAAAATGTTTTTTTATTACCTGTCTTGTAAAAAACATTCAAAAACAATTTTTTTATTGACGAATCTCCACCATTCTGCTTGCAACTGTCTTTCAAGAAAATTGATCGCTCCAGTAGTTCTGATTCTATACTTTACTTTCATGTGTTTCCATAAGCATTCAATAGTCTGTGTTTGAGCACCTGTACGCGGATCTATAAAGTTTTTGCTGTGGTTAACTGTTTGGTGAAGAAAACCATGTTCATTAAGAGTACTGTAAGCTCTCCATTCATCTGAATAAATTGTGGTTTCAGCCTTTCAGGTTCTAATTATTGGACAATTATGGGAAGTAATGTTTCACGATCTCTTTTATCAACTATAAAATAACGGAGCTCCAAAATATTATTTTGATGCAAGGAGCACATACCAAACACCCAAGGTTCTTGAACGCGATTTCCGTAATTTCTGCTTTGGTTTTCAATATTTTGATTTTCTTCGTCAGAATCGTTTTCAAAATCATAACAAGAACTTGTATCAGAATAGGAATTTTCATTATCATTAGGTCTATAATCGCCGAGGCGTAATCTGCCTATATTTTACTTTTGTTTGCCTTGGAAAATATTAATTTTAATGATAACTACATATTTGGAATATACTAGTCCAAGAGAGACATTTTAAAATTCTTGATATTTTTTTTACTAGGTACTTTAGAAGTGTGGCGATATAAACTTTTTTTCATATGAGAACCCCCTTTTTTACTGTAATTTATAAAGCCAATGATTTGTTTGAACATTTTGATGCTTCTAAAAAATTAGCATTTTAAAAATTCACTCTATACAATGTAGTATGTACATCTATGGCGAAACACTAAAACTACAACATTTGTATTTTACATATCGGAGTTCTATATAATCTTGTGATGCAGTGTTTAAATTGTTAATACATACATTCAATGTTGTCAGAATATAATTCCCACATTGAGTTTTTGGTAAGTATATAATTCATTTGTACCCAAATAAAGCATAACATTTCATTTACAATTTTTTTAATTCAATGAATATTTTTTATGTTAGAAACTTCCCAAGTGTCACAATTTCTGTTTGAAATTCATCAAAATCAAATTCAACAATAGATTCAGATGATTTAGTGTGATTTAGTATTGATTTAGTTCAAGAATACCAATTTTAGGTCTCATGCGATTAAAATTGGTTATATTTTCTAACAATTTACTTAATTTATATTATTAAGAACCTCACCCTTTGTATGTAAATCATTACATAATATCAGAACTACAAAAAAATTATTTTGGTGATTATCAAATTTGAATAACACCCACTTACACAACGGCTTGTAACAGCAGCTGTTTAATCAGAGTATCAGAACTGTAGTGTTTTTTATGTTCAATACTTTAATATTATTTACAGATGTGTTTTGGGTACCAAACTATGTGACCCACCACCATATAATTTCACTATGGAAGCCGTCATACTTAGGGATTTGGATCTGCGCCACTGTATAAGATTAAACTTGAATAACAAATAAAAAACAAAATAAATGTAAAGCTCAATTTTGAAGCAAATATGACAAATTAATGTTATCATTTGTAATTGTTTTTTTGGTAGGTTTTTTTCCATGATTTAAATAAACATTCGAAGAAATATATGTTATAAATTGTATTTGCAGTCCTTCAAGCTTGTAAATAAATTGTACGAAATAAACCTAATCACCACATTATAATATGTAGGTATGTAATAACTTTTATTCAAAATGTGAATGACAACACACAATTTTAATTTAATTTTTTGAAAATGGAATATTTTTCTGAGTATTTTGAAATGTTGATGTATAAAAATCAAATTTTACAAAGATTTATTAGTTATAAAAAGAGTGCGAAATTAAATACATTTAAAAATTATCAAATATGCATACAAAAAGTGGCTAACTATGCAATTATATACATAATATTATACTTAATAAAATTTATTTGAAAAAATAAAACACCATGTTTACACCAAGAATTATGATAATAAGAAACTAATAAACTACTAAACTTTTTATTAGAAACCAAACTAATCAAATAATTAAAATTGTAATAAACATTAAATAGATTAAAATATTTTATTCAGTATTATAGAATATTTAAAGATAAAATAAAAATAAAAATAAACTGAACTTGGCTGTAAATACTTATTTGCAAATCATTTAAAATATAAAATTTAAAAAAAAAATCTCAGTAAACATAACAATTAACTTTCAGACCAAAATCATTTGCCATGAAAAAATATTTTGAACATAAGCAAATCTTAACTTTTAGACTTGTCATTATAATATTTAAAACTAAAATAAAAAAAAACTTTTAAATAAAATAAAATATGAAAATGCAATATTTTATAAGTTACAAAATTTAACAAACTAAAATCTACTGTTTATAGTTATATAATTTTAAATAATGTGTCTTGAACTCTCAGAAAACATGACAAACTGACAATCAAAATTAAAAAACCCACTGTGACGCATGCATTAACATGGCCTATCAATCTTGTCAAATATAACAATATTTTAACAAAATTTTGAGATACAATGTGAACAACTTTTTTTACAGTAATATTGATTCATCATGAAATACACATTAAATATGCATGTTATATGCTTTTATGAAGTAGTATGAAATAATCCTTCACATATGCAAAATATGCAAAATCAAATTTAGTATTTGAATTCAGTGTTATATGGACGGTGGACGTTTAAAACCCTATGGACATGTATATACTATGTACATACATGCAAATGAATATAATTCAGAGCTCAATTTAGAATTATTTTTAATTTAGATAAACACTCCACACGTCAAAATGTTTAAATACTTATGACTCATAAATTATTATTCCTAAATTTGATTTAAATGTATCAATATAAAAATATTAAGCTTTCAAAAATGAAATTAAAACTGCATGTTGTCATTCAATAAAGAAAAAATGTTAAAATATTTTTGGTAGATAGCATACGGCACGTATGCCAAAATCATAATTGGATAACATTGAAAAATATTTAAGTATTATAATTATTAATTTTTATCATAGTTTTTTAATTTTATCCTAAATTTTTAAATATTTTTTTTTCCAGATTTATATTTTGTTGTAGTATTAATGCGCTATATAATTACATAATTTTATAAGGACAACATTGTACAATTAATATATTTTCTCTAAGCTTAAAACCGTTTTGTACAATTGTTCTATTCTATATATAATATAAAATAGTTCACATTTTATTAGGTATTTGCATTTTTGTTTGGGAAATATATTATTTTTTAATGGGCTAAATTTTTCCTGGTGCTTGGTAATATGTAAATCTATTTTTCTAAAAACGAGATAACCCGGAAGTACCATTTTGTTATAATTTGAAAATATTATTCATGACCTGTGGGTACTTGAAACTTTTAAAGTATATTATTATATTGTATACATACGATAATTGGGAACATTTTTAATAAATTTATTATATTTGTGGTGAATAATTGTTTTTTACATTGATAATAATAATTTTTTTTTGGATATGGAAGTATTTCCTTTCAACCACTATATTATTAGCTTTATCACTTGACAATAAATCTCAACCATCAGATTTAAATATTCCAACCTCTCCTTTAAAAGAAACATTTAAATAGAGATACAGATATACTAGGAAAAAGAATTGTCAACATTTCGCATTTATTTAATGCAATTAAATTGATTGATAATCATAAACCTTTTGACTGTAGTTTTAAAGACATGCGAATTATTAACAAAATTAAATATGGTTTTAAATCCACTTTTGTATTTTAATGTGATATTGTAACACTATAGGCAAAATATCAATGGAAGATGAAAATATGATGTCAATAAACACAGTAGCCATCGCTGGAATTAAAAACATTGGCTGCGGTTTCTAAAACTACTGGCAATATTCAATTTTGACCTCTAAGCACCAACTAGATTCACTTCTCTATTAGAAAAGATACTGATGTCAGAGTTGGAGCATTCTTACTACCCCACATGTTGATGGCAGACAGGAAAAAAATATACATTACTGTAAAAACCACGGTTATCTACTCGTGTAGATAACCGTGGTAAAAACAAAACATTAATTCGCTTTGCTCAGTATTAAAATATTTTTATGGCATGGAAAACCCTAATATTAATATTTAGTGAAAATTTCGTGAGTCTACGTAATTCGTTTTTGATTTACAACACAAAATAATGAAGTAGTTCCATGAAAAATAATGGTTGAATATCTAATATTAAACAATTTTAAACTTTTGTAATTTTGACTTGTTATTAGTTATTTATAAACATTAGAAATTTTTTTTTCTATAAATGTCAATAAAAATAATTTTTTTGCCGGGTTGATATGCTTGACAGTTGACTGCAATAAGGTTCCTCATTAGTAGTTGAAAAATATTTTAGATCCATATTCCAAAACCATGATTTTGTTTTCATAAGTATTTAACAAATTTGTATACGTAAAAAGTAATACTTTAACACTGCACATTATATTAAAAAATAGGCCTAGAATCATTACATTCATTGTTTTATTTTTTAAAAACATCAAATTTTACAATTTTAACTCAAACAACCATAAATATGAATTTAATTACAAACATATTTAGAAGAAGAATCTACATCGGGCAGGCACAGTCAATTGCTTCTAGGCGGAAAGAATTGTATTCGTCGCGCAGACAGCAGTTGTCTAGAGCGTACACGATTATTCCGAGTTAGATGTCGGCCGCCACGCAACCGGTTGGCCAACCGCCGCTTATACAACTTCTGGAGTTCGGGTACTAAGTCAGCGATCAGGTACTTTACGCAGTCTATTTGTTTCATCTCTATTGCCCGTTTTAGGCACGCCGATCGATTCATTTCACACCCATTACGGTGTGCGTAACGGAGACAGTCGACTGACCCATAACCCGCGGCTGCTTTGGTTGTATTCTTGTCCCATTCGACACCGCTCCTGTGCAGGTACATCAGGCACTCCGTATGGCCTCGAAACGCTGCCACGGTGCACGCCAATTTGGTACGCGGACAGCCGTTCTCTAACAAGTACTTGAGTATTTCAAGTTGCCCCATGTCCGCGGCGCCCCAGAGTGTCATAATGTCCCAGGGACACGCATTTTCATGCGCATACCTGAGACACTCCATGTGCCCATTTTCCGCAGCTGCCGTGCACGTTTTAATGTTCCAGGGACACTCATTTTCACGTAAATAGATAAGGCATTGCAGGTATCCTTTTTCCGCTGCACGAAAGGTTGTATTCACACCCCATGGGAAGCCCATCTCGTGAGCGATCCTCAAGCAATCGAAGTGCCCATTTCTCGCGGCATGGCTGCATACTAGTTTGTATACTTTGCGCCGTTCATTGTTATCAATATTTTGAACGATGTTCAACACCTTGTTGAACATGGACCGCCTGTCTCCGTGAGGGTCGAACTCGCCACCATTCGTGTTCAAAGAGATGATTTCAAACAGCGACTTACAACATTTTTTTATATCTTGCCGCTGCACGTTCAGTTCGTTGTACCAGTGCTGCTGTATCTCATTACACGCCTTAAACGCAATCTTCACCAGACTGAACACGGCGAAAGTACTCTCGTGGTTAGCCATGATCACAGCAGTGAACGTCACAATCGAAATTACAGCCAGAAGAAGTCCTGTAAATGAATAAAACACAAAATATATAGAACAACAATCAATATTATAGAACAGTCAGAATTACAATTTAAAGTATATAGTCAATGTAATAAATGACAATAACTTTAAAAATATATCTTTAAATTTAAATACTAGGTATGTCCATAAAGTAAGTGCGCTAAGGCTCTCACGGTCGTAGGGAATAAATTAGGTTAAATAATTGTATTTCAATATTTATTAGGTAATACAAGAGTGGGATGGGTGGGGCATGCAATCCACGCATTTATATTGTAAAATATATCCGTAGGCACTAAGATTTAAAAAATATTGTGAGAATCTATTGTTTATAGTTAATTTTTTTATAACTTCCCATCTAAAAATGTATTTCTCATTTATTATCAGTGTAAGGCGCTTTTTGGGGCCTCCGACTAATGGTGAATACATTTATATGAAAGTAAATGCATTTCACAAAATTTCAAAAATGATACTGGGCATGGAAAATAATTAAGCAACCGGCCACATCAAACATCAAGCCGTCACTATGTATGATATTTATGTAGTACTGTATAAACAAATTGACATTTTACCATGAATGATAAAAATACAAATACAAATTAAAATTAAGGGCAGACAAGTGGTACACTTACTTCTGCTATACAGTAGAGGAGTCAATGTAACACATGTTAAACTTGAATTGAATGTTATAAAATCATCGTAAACGAAAAATGATTCTGAGCAAAAACGGTCTGCTAGCGTATATATTACTAAGTACATATAGTTTATAAGATTAATGTGATTCATTTTACTATTGGGTACTAGTACAACAATAGGTAACAATAATTTTGGACAAAAATATTGCATTTTAAAATGTCAATATGTGTATAAAATATAATAATATATTTTAAAAGTTTATCAGGTATCAAGGAATAGTATTTTTAAATTACAACAAAATAACAAACATTGTTATTATTTGTTTAAATATCTATTATCGTCGAAATTTCAATTTAAAATTTTTAATTTATAAGAATCCTTGTTTTAAATTTCCAATCTTTAGCAATAAAAATGTATTATTTTATACATTTTTAATATAACATAATAACTAATAATTTTTTTAACTGGTTTTATAACGGCATTTAAGTGGAACAAAAAGAGTACCATTTGAAGTTTATTAGGACAATGGGACATATTGACCAAAAAAGAGAAAATCATGTTTTAAACAGTAAGAATAGTCAACCTAGTCACCTATCTATTTAATTGGAAAAATATATAACCTGAAGGAAGCATGTCATAAACTTTAAACATTACTATACTATTTTGGGATGACAGAGGGCTCTTGCAAACAACTAACATGTTCTATAGATTTGTTGTAATCGGTATATTTTGGTCACTAGCCCTGGAAGTATAATTTTCAATGACAGTTATAATAATATATATATGTAAAGTAGGAAGAATGAATCGGATTCTGTCATAGTGGAACAATTAAAAAAAATCATTAAAATTTGGTTCTATCTATAATCTATGTTATAAAGAAATTTAAGGTAGAAAACCATTTCTCACAAAGTATACATTAAAAAAAACTTCACAGAAAGAAACAAAATTTCAGAAAAAATTAAAAATGTAAACTGATATCACTGCACAAGAACAACTACATACTTAGTATACACTACGATTTCTATGAAAAATGTCATAAATATAATTTAGCTATTCATAATTTCATTTTATAACTCTATAAGCAAGAAATGTGTGTTAAAGCATACATTTTTCATTATTGTTTTTATTACATTTTATTGTGTGATTTATTTATTTTTCATCAATAATAATGATACTATAGTTAAAATAAAATATGTTATTTGCATTATGATTATTTATTCATCTTATACTAATGAACAGAACTGCATAATTTAGTTTTATTCAATACTCAGTTAAAGTACACATACCTATAAACAAAAATGAATATTTTAGTCCCGAATAGTGACATAAGTAATTATGTCTTAAAACATATGATAATAAATAACATTTATAAAATATATCTATCAACTACATCTAGCAAGAATATTTAAAACAATGATTTCTATCCAAACAAAATAGTAATGTAATTTGTAGTGTCTTTTTTGTACCTCAAATAGCTAAATGGCATGTTATTAAAATATAACAATATACAATTTCAACATATTTGGTATTAAATAACAGCTTATAATTTATTAAATTCATATTTGAAAAATAGAAATAAACATCAGAATCAACAATGAATCAAGTGAAGAAACCTCCATAATGTGGTGTACATCAACCTCAAAGAATTACTCTATCGGCTTCATTTTTTGATATACAATGTATATTATACATTTAAACCAAATAAATGATTGGAATACACACCGAAAACTAGTTGCACAAACATACAGTACATTTTTTTGGAGGCCTGTTCTGGTATAAGGAATATTTTTTATAGAGTAAAATCTATAAGCGTCTGTGAAAATAATTTCTTCTTTTGATTACAAAAAAACTTAAATCATACCCATAGATATATAAACATACTAGATAGCGGACGACCATATACTAGATGTTATTAAACGTGTGTCTGGGGCAGCCATTTGTGAAGACGACAATGTTTACATTATGCAGAATTGATAACGAATGAGTAATCAATAATCATAAAACATAATGACTACAGACCACAAGAATTATTAAACATACCTAAAAACATACTTCATAGCTTATACAAAATATATTACATCAAATAGGACATAGACAAGTTCCAAATTCGAATATCCACTTTTTTTTGTAAGTTGATATTTACTATATTGAAATGTCCATATTATTTAATACTTATATTATCAACTCACATTTTTGTTATTATATTACCTTGAAAAGGCTCAACGCACAAAATCTGTTAATTTTATTAAGTCCTTTACTTCTCTCCACTCATTTATGATTAATAGTTATACATATACATATAATATGTACACAGTTTTTTGTATAGTTATTTTAAATTTTAAGTTTAAATTTGGACGAAACTGCATGTCTACCATGAATAATGATTTTAGTTATACAAGTATAATATGATCTAGTTTTTTTAATATGTATTTTGTATTTATCAAAATTATAATTTATCATTGGCTGTTACCAGTTAATATTTGTAAACATTGCCGTGGTTGCATATGGCGGAACAAGACACACTTTACGGATTGTCGTGCGCTATCTAGTATGTTTATATATCTGTGATCTTACCACAGTATATAGTTAATTCTTATCAACAAAATAAAAAAATGTACTTGAACATATAATGTGTGTTTAAATCAAAATATATAAACATGCCAAATATTTGTAAAAAATGTTAAAAACTGTAAATATTTAGGTACAAAAATGTGCCATAATCTTGTACCAGATTAAACTTAGAGCAAATTAATTTATTCAATTAAGAAAAATAATAGTACATATAAAAAAGCACCAGATGCAAAGGCACAAACAGAATAAGAAATATGACATATACATAAAAAACAATCCACCTGCAGGTGGAACAGCTAGTTAATAATAATTATATGTGAAAAATGTAGAGATATAATTAATATATATTATATTTGAAAAATGTTTTCAAAGAGAAAATTACACAAGTGTGCTGGGAATGGTACATAAATATTACCTATATTACTGGTATTGATTACTAGTTTTGTCTATACTTAAGGAAATTATTTTTCTAGAAGTTTAATTCCTATCTGATGGAATTTATGGGGTGGGAAACTTAAAAATAAAATTGGTTATTTTATAAGTCATGCTAAATTGATTTGTTATTATTTAACTTTTTCATTGATACACCATTTATGCTCTGCAACCTCTCTATGCCACATAAAATAAAATATTTTACATTTTGAAATCTAGATGATCTAGGTAATTATTTAAGTTTAAAATAGGGTTTGCTAAGATGAAACAGTTACTGGAAAATGATAACAATTACAAATTGCATAGTTTCAAACATTTTTTGTTAATTATATTATATATTATCGATGCATTAATGCAATTAAAGAAAATGATAAAACTAAAATAATTTTACAAATTATATCATATTAGGTAGCAGTATTTGACAAGAGATAAACTGTATGTGTCGATATCAAGAAATCGACAAGTGGTATCGTGTCAAGGTAATCTCAATAAGTTACAAGCAGGGATGGATAAGATACTTAAGGCAATGTCAAAGCACTGTATTTTCTCTCTGGCCCAAGAGCATCATAGCAAAAATGTGTCCACACATAATCATAGTGCAGCACTACAGCTTGTGACCAAGTGATGTTATTTAAGTGATAACCAGTGTTTGGAAAGCACACAGTTCATAAACGCACATTCATATTTAGTAAGCATTAAGCGTAGAGTGTAGATCACTCTTTTTTTAAATTGAAAGTGATAGAGTGCATTCAAAAAAAAAAAACACATTGTGAATGTTCCTAACACTGGTAATAACACACTTACAATTTGCATTTCTAAGTTTGACTAAGTAAACTTTTTTAACTATAACTAACCTGATCACTGAGAAACCCGCACACTTCAGTAGCAGAAGAATTTCGGAAACTATTTGGATTCTTTGGACAATATTTTTTCAGCTGAAATAATGATTAAATCAATTGAATCATTAACAAACAGCAATAATACAGCGGAGGCCAGAATCTAATTCATCACATGAATTCTAAAGGCCGTTTAGTAGCTTGAAGCCATAAGCATTTTATATTACAATAAATAATAATTTCAAAATAATGATAATTATTCTTATTTTTTCAACCCCCCCCGAAATTTTTTCCTGCGTCCGCCCCTGGGCGTGTACGAACCTTCGAAAATATAAATTGAAAAATGGGCATAAGATACACAAGTGTACAGGGCCTGTTAGGAATCTTAAGTACAACTTAAGAGGACGTGATACCTGCATGTGTTGTCTCTGTCTTACAAGTGCGTAACATAGCAAATTTTACGCTCAGCAGAACAAGTGTAGCACCGTTAGTTTAAAAATTAGTGCGAATTGACCTCCTATAAAATCTAAAGGTAAGATTATTATCTAGTCAACCTCACAGATTTTGTATTATATTTTAATAATGAGTATTTTAAAATTGTAAATTTTTTATACATCTTAAAATACTTATAACTCTATAATAAAAATATAATAAAAAGCCTATGAGGTTGCCTAGATAATAATCTTACCTTTAGATTTTATAAGAGGTCAATTCACATTAATTTTTAAATTACACGTGTTCAGAAGTGTACAATTTGCTATGTTACGCACTTGTACGACGGAGTCAACACATGCGGGTATCACGTCCTCTTAATCAATAATATTAAGTTGAAATTATTATCTATTGTGTATAATGTAAACAATGTTATGAAATAACTTACGTAAATAACTACTAGAATGGAGAATGAGTATAACAACTAAAAACCCATCATTGCGGATTGACGCACGAACCCGCGAAAATAGATATCAGAAATGGTTATTGCTCATAAACAGCCAGCTATGATCTTCCGTGTGTTGCAACGATAATAATAATAATAATAGGCGCATGCGGTACGCGTATTCCACCCTTATTTCATAACCTTCGTTCGTCTTCAACTGTTGATACTGTGAACGTGGTAGATGCCCTACAGATTCGTGACCACATCTTTTTTCTTCCACTTTATTTATCGGCTTATCACGGTATCTCGGCGTGGGAAGAACAGAGTAGGGTGCAGTCCATAGAGTAATACTCTATGGTGCAGTCTGTTGTCCGAAAAATGATAAGGAATTTTATATCACGACTTATGCCATCATACTTATACCAACGAGCCATCAGTGACTCCAATCTTGAAATTATTTACAGTGCGTGCCCAAGCGTCAAGGCCTGCTCCCCACCGGCCAACAAGTCCCTTTGTTACTTTTCAACATTCCGTTGTACGCACACGCGCATTCCACAACGTCGCGACGGTCGACTGTCACGCACGTGTGAATGACGCGCATTTGATTTTCACTAGGAAACGTCATGTTTTATTTACAAACTTATTGAAGTCAATCGCATTGTCGTTCGCCATACACTCGTGTTTTAATGTCGATTTAATACGAATTGTGAGAACTTAAGGACGGAAAAGTAAGTTTACCTATTTGTATCGCATACTGCAGTGGCATACGTGTTTGTAGGGTTCTTAACCTGCCATGAAATTTCTCCCTTCTACAAAAGAAATCTTATAGATGTAGGTAAAATAGATTATTTACAACGGCAATAACGTCGAGAATTATAATAGGTAGTTTCAGTTTTTTTTGATCGATTATAATGCCATTGCTATAATTTGAGCGTCTGCCGTAATTAATTGTATGATTCATTGTTATCGTGTTTATTACAGTCTGTAGAGACTATATCATATTATGACAACTTAAATATTTTTGACATAGACTAAATTCAAGAAATTTTTTTTCTTAGTAATATTATGTTTTCTACCTATTATATAAAAACCGTTAAGTAAAAAGTAATGTTAACACAATGATTCCCCCCCCCCCTTGGTTCTGTGATTAATCTTCGATAAAACCATGACCGAACTAAATCCTCCTTATATTACTTTTCTACTTATCATATACTTACATAGTACTTGGTACTTCCTACTCGTACAGTTGTTATTATTTACATCTTCTAATGATTTCTGTCGTGTTTTTGTCTGTTTTATAAAAGAATATTTAGTTGTATTCATTTTTGGTGTTGATGTCATTACTCTTTTTTGGCTTTTCTCTAATTAAATGAATTGTCATTCTGTAAGCAAGATATCAATTGTTTGGCCACAGTTCTAGTTTTTCTTATTGTTATATTTTGGTAAACGTTTGTGTCTCACACTAAATAACATATGCTTGGAAAAAACTACAATTAGAATTAAATTAAGGTTAAAGAGGATTAAAATTGTTATTAAAGAGGATTCTAAAAAATTCTACATAATGTGTTGTCTCAATATCACAAATAGATTATTTATGCTCTCATTCCTGCTTTAATTGATAATTTAATTTTAAAATGAATTATAACTAACATATTACAATTTTAAAATACTTATAACTTATTTAAAGATTAAAATATCGATGGAGGCAATGAGTTACCGTAGAAAATACTCAACCTTTCCATTTATTAATAGGCCGATTCCCACTGATAATATAGGTAGTTTCAATAAAATTAATTGTACAGAACACAAATTCACTATGATGTTTATTTATAAAATTGAGATGACATATGCGAATGTAACAGTTATTTAAGTATATTCAAGAACGCTGCTAGTAGACAAAAAATACATTCTCCAAAACAATTTTATTTTTATCAGACTCGTAATCAGTAAAATGTATTGACCTACAATATTTCCACAAAAAATTAAACTTAAATGTCTATTGCCAAGGTAATAATAGCTATAATATTTTCAGTATCCTGCGCTATTATATTTTTAATAGTCTAAAATCACATGGATTGAATACTGTACTTGTCTTTAATTAATTTTGCATACTATACATATCAGGTGGATAACTGTTTTCTAATAACCTTTATAATATGTCTTAATTATGTTTTTATGTGTAACAATATAATAACTTATTTAAAATAAATAAAATATACATAAAATATGGATGGTTATATAATAATATGTACTAGGATTGATTTGGTTAAGTAATAGTTATAACTAGGGAATAGACTTAACTGTGATGAAAAAATCTGATAATGTAGTTATGTTGATCAAAATATGCAAAAAAAAAATTTTAAATATCTAACAAAATTTGGTGACAATTTGGTTTAAAAATATTTTTGTACTCACTGAATGTACGTCCTACATCGACTGATGTAATAAAGGCATTCTTCATATTAGCTACATGAGATGGTATGAATTCATTTTCAGTGATTCTGTAGGATTTAGACCTGTATACAGTGTATGTATGTCTAACTATTTACATATTTTTTAGTCCAGGATACATGTGCAATTTTTTCTTTAACTAAATTTCTTAAGTGTCCTTGTATTTTTTCTAATTTATTTTGTGCTTCAACAATGCATAAGTTTTCTGACAAGAGGTTTCCAGTTGTTTTATTGTATCAAAAAAACTAAAATTTATAGCAATGAGGGTTAGATTATTATTTAAATTAGGATTTTCCATTAATTTGTTGGATTTCTTAATAGTAGTGAAAGTTTCTAGTTTTGAAATTATTTGTTTAATTTTTTCTAAATGTTCATTAGAATATTGAGTGACTTATAACCACGTACTTGTTAAAATAGGCTCTGAATGGTTTAATTATTTTAAATACGCAGCTTCCTCATTATTTAATGGCCTTCCAACTTAAGGCATTTTACAAGAAATAATAGCTTCAATACAAATTTCACTTTTGCTAGAGTCTAGACGTAATATTATACTGAATCATTACCCAGGTAAAGCTAGGCCTTAGATAAAGCAGATAATATTTGTCATTGTCAAAAATCACTAAAATATGTATGAATATGTTAAATAAATTGGGTTCATTTCAATTTGAATAATATCAATCGTACACATATTTCATCAGATTAAAAATATTTCATTTCAAGAAAAATATGTATTTACAATGTATTTCCGTTTCGTTGTTATAACTTATAAATAGGTACATTTTATAGGTCTAAAAAATTCAAACACTTGCCTTATAAATATAATAATAATATTATTTTACAGTCTTGATTTGTAATTTTCTATACAATTTAGTATACAACTATCTAATACTTAGATCTTAGAAACTTAGTAAGCTGAGGCTATACATTAAATATTTTGAATTTGAAATTAATTAATTTTTTTTTAGTGGACCGTGGCCCCAATAAAAGGAAAATTAAACCTCCAAATAACATGGAATTACTTATGGATTTGTTTAGTGAAAGTTCATCAGATAGTGATTTTAATATTGAAGATCATTATGTTAATAGTGAATCTGATTCTGGAGATTCAAATTTCTCTTTCACTGAGGGTATGTTGTCTGTTAAAAAATTTGATTTTTTGATGTAATATCAATTTTTTTAAATTCCATGTACATTTTTGAACATTTGAATTCATACACATAAATTTCAAAAGATTGTGGTAATCTAAAAGAAGCTAAAAAAGATGATGAAAGCGATATTAAATGTAACAATGGTAATACGACTACTGATTTAGGTGTCATGACAACCAAAGAAGATGATTCTGTAAAAGTAATTCTTTTAACTGAGTTTCACATGATCAACTTACTATTTAAAACCAACTTTTTAATTTTTCAGGTGAATATAAAAGAAATAATTGATACCATTCGTATTTGCAGTATATGCTTAGGTGATGCCAGTGATGATTTAAACGAATTAATCGACTGTGACGAATGTGGTATAACAGTTCATGAAAGTAAATATCTTTTACTTAAATAGTAATTATAGTAAATAACTAAATATTTTTATTTTTAGGTTGTTATGGTGTTCAAGATTCTGAAAGTGTTAATTCATCCATATCATCATATTCTACGGAACCATGGTTTTGTGAAGCTTGTAAAGCGGGCATTCAAAATCCTACTTGTGAATTATGTCCTAATTTTGGTTTGTAAATTTTTGTAAGGTCTACAAATTTAAATTAATACATTGTTTGTATAGGTGGAATATTTAAAGAGACAAGTTGTGGTAAATGGGTACATTTAGTATGTGCTCTTTATATACCTGGTATATGTGTTGGTGAAGTTACAAGTATCATTAAACTCGAGTTATTTAAAAATACTACACCTCAATGGGGTAATAAAAGTTGTACATTGTGCAAGGATTCCAGATTTAGTAGCACTGGAGTGACTATTGCATGTGATGCTGGGATGTGCCGAACTAGTTTTCATGTTACTTGGTATGATATAATATATATATATATAATTACAAATTAGATTTTTTAATTTATCATGTTGTAACTTCTTCTCACTTGCACTAATACAAATTTTCTTTCTATTTAACAAAATATTGGCCCTGTTGTGGTACAGTTGTTCAGCAATTAGAAATAGGTTAACTTCTATAATATAATGATTGAACTAAACATAATAAGCTATATTTATTAATTATATTTTTCTTCATTTATTACTCAACTTAACTTAATACTAATTACTTATATTTTCAACTTTCAACACTAGATTTTGCTCAGGTATTGTAGCAATCATTAAAACTACTTCCTAAATGCCTGTTTCATGATTAATCTTATTTTCCTTATAGCTTAAACACACTCATAGAAACAAAACACCTCCTCCACTATAACGCATCTAACAATGTTACAATGCTTTATATTGTTTTAGTTTCTAGATTTCAAAATAGAAAAAAATTTTATAATTTTATCATGTCGACTATATTATATATTTTACATAGAATAATCTACTGATGTAAAATATAGTATTAATAAGTATTTCAAAACATTATTTAGTGCTCAACGAGAAGGTGGATTATCAGATTCAACAAGTCCGGATACTGACCCAACAGATCCATTTTACGCTCATTGCAAATTGCATGTAGACAAACTGATAGTAAAGTGAGTACTAATTTTTTAATTGTTAAGTACATTTTCTAAATTATGTTAATTATTATAAAATAAATTATTTGCAATAAGAAACTTTATTCAGTAACTTCCTAAATTTTTTTAAAAATTATTTCCCAATCTTATATAATAATATGTATTGTTTTATTATAATGTTCCTTTTTGAATTTCTATAATAATTAATATACCCTATATTTTTTATTTTCAAGGAAAAAGAAAAGAAATTGGGAAATACTTCAATTAAGAACAAAACAAATGAAATTAAAGCGTGAACAACAGTCTTTGGAAAAATCACCGTCATGGCAACGTAATCAACAATGGCTTAAAAAATTACAATTTAAGTATGATGAGATGAAAAAAGTCAGCAAAACACCAACAGAATCAAGTAAGTTACTTAATATTATTGATTTGTATTCAAGTTAAAAATTTTTATTTTTTGAAAGCATTTATATCAAAAGTTCCTCGTCCTATTACAACATCAGCTTCATCATGTCGAGCACTTTGGTTAAAAGCAGACTTAATGGGTATAAATATGAACTCCCAAGAGACTATTGAAAATCAAATAAAGGAATTGCGTGATGTACCAAAAAAATGGTATATACCACCTGCGTTTAGGTTAGATATTATTACCAATATATATATTTTTTCTTTGTTGATATTAATATTTTTATTTGTCATTTTTAGTTTGGAATTTGTAAGTTATTTTACAGATAGAAAATTAAGGTTGGCAGATTTACAAAAGGAGCTGAAACATTTTACGGAGCAAAACAACATACTCTGTGGTAAACAAAAAATTGTACAAGAAAAATATAATCAAGTAATACAATTGTTTAATAATATACCTATTTCAAGTTATACAATATAATATACCTATATTTTAACTCTTATGTTTTTTGTAGGATTCCAAAAATAATGAAATACTAAAAAAAAAACATTTGGAACTCGAAAATATTATTAAAGCATACCATTATGCTATTAATTCGTGCAATCCCAATTCTAATATTTTGGATTTAGATATACTTCCTAGAGAAGTTCAATATGGTCATAATTCTTTTAGTGAGTTGAATAAATTTTTCTTTAAAACTTACTAACCAATAGTTTGTAAATAAATTCTGAATATTTGTTATATTCTATTTTTCTACAATAAATCTTTATGATTTGTATTATACTACTAACAGTTTTAAAAAATGTCTCAATGAGACATAATGATAATTAAAAAATTATAGTTATTAAATTTATCATGTTATTTTAAAGTCTATTATGTAATAATATATGTTATCATTTGGTATATAATTAAACTCTAATATTCGGTTTTTCAGATAATGTGACCCCATTAGGTTTGTTTAATAAATGTGGTATTTGCAGTCATACAAATGATCAACATTTGCTAGCAAAATGTGATACATGCTGCTTATACTACCATTTGCGTTGTTTATCTCCACCACTAACTAGAATGCCCAAGAAAACAAAATTATGTGGATGGTAAATTAAACTATTGAATGTTTCAGAAGTATAATGTAAATTAAATGTATTCAAAAATATGTTACAGGCAATGCAGCGATTGTGAAAATACCAATTCAAACTCTGATCAAAAAATAGTAGATCCAATTGCTCCTAGAAAATCAAAATATAGTGGAATACAGCAGTCTATTTCAGACAGTCGCAGATCTTCATCTATTGTTAATGATGTAAATAATATTTTTTAATAATAAAATCATACTTTTGTAAATTCAATTAAATGTATGATTACATTAGTTACAGGATTTCAATGGTTCGTCAACACAGAATAATATATCTGATGCATCAAGTAAGTTCTTTAAAATATTTAAGAGCTACGATTTTATTATGTTGGTTTATTTAATGAATGTATTACAAAATTGATGTGAAATACTTATTTTAACATTTTAATAATTTAATAGTATGATCAATTTATATAATTATGTATATATAATAATTTATACTAAACATTTTTCAGAGAGAAAAAAAAATGAACAGCACAGCAACAAATATTCTTCCGAAATAAAAACTAAACGAGTTAAGTATTGCAAACCCAAACATAAGCACCACAAAGGCTCAGAATTGAAGCCAACTGATAATCATTTAGCTAATGAATCTCCTCAACATGCAATCAAGCTCTTTGTAAGTATTGATAACTTAAAGAATTTCAGAATAATTGAAAAAATGTTGTATTTAGATAAAATCCACCCCGAGTGCTAGTGGGCTAAAGACAATATCATCAGAATTACTCATTGGTCCACTATCAGATGGTACACGTAAAACATCTCCAACTAAACCAGAAAAGAGTGTTACACCTATCAGAATCAAAAAGACTTCGACAGATATTAAACTAACTCCTTTGTGCTATACTTGTAAGACAACTGGAACAACAGACATAATGGTTCAGTAAGTATAATAATTACAATTCTATTGTAGTAATTAATTTATGATAAAAATAAATGATTATATTATATATAATTTTCTATTTTAGTTGTAATGTTGTAATGTGCAATTTAAAGTTCATTGTTCTATTAATTGTTCATATTTTTAAAGACACTTCCAATTGTAATCATCTTTTAGTCTCCATACAATAGAATCACCATCATTCTGCCAAGCTAAAATTTCTGTTATAACACCAATATTAGTTTATCGTATTGTAATTTTATTTAAATGAAGTAACACAGAAACTTATATTTTGTGTTGTCTATATTTTAGTAATTTGTTTTAAGTTTTTTTATACAAGAGAAAGAATAATATTAATTTATGCTAAAAATAAATGTTTAAGATTATAAATGTGTTTTAAGTATCATATAATTGTTGAGACTAATTTATCATATTTTAAAATCGAATTGAAAGCAAAAGCTATAATTAGTTTAAAAAATCAAATTTTATGTATATTTACTTATTTCATTTGTACAGGTGTGAAGATTGCAGCGACTATTTTCATTTTAGCTGTCTTGATCCCCCAGTGAAAAAAACACCAAAAGTTTGTGGCTACTCATGGCACTGTGAAAAATGTGATCCAACGGTACATACATTATTTCTTTAAGTATAGCATTAGTCATTAGGTGTTCATTCTATTTTTAATAAGAATAAACCAATTTTTAAATGAAAATTGATCTTAGTTTAAATTTGCCTAAAATAAATGTGACAGTAAAATTTACTGTACTGATAATGATGACATAATAATATGTCAAACTAAGTATATCTGATGTTATTGCTCTAATCATATTGGGTCAATTGATTTATACTTATTAAAAACGATATATTATATTAAGTTCTGGGTTTGGATCTTTGTGTATCTGCGAATTGTATTTAAAAGAAATTGCATAAGAATTACTCATACCTAAGAGTTTTGACAACTCATGTTGTGTTTATCTTTATGAACTTTGATTGCACTGTATATTATCTACGTTGTCCGGAGACTGGCATTGCTGGTACTACCTTATAATTATAAACATAAAAAATGTATCTCACAGCCAGTGTTTTACACATAAATCTTTAGTTTCATATGCAATTATTTGTCATGAGTACAGCGTCCGTTGGTGTTCAGGCTGTTGTACTGTTAGAGTACAACAGCACTCTACGTTATTTCACATCATTAAACGTAAAATGCAAGTTGGGTCCACAATTTACTCAGACAAATAGAAGGTCTTATCAACTTAGTGACCATGATTATATACATGTAACTGTAAATCAGGCCCTTCATTTCATTGAGTCAGAAACAGTGGCTAATACTCAATCTATAGAATTTATATGGAGTCGTGTCAAAGTCGAATACAGTCTAAAAATACCCACCATGGTGGTAATGGTAGTTGATGGAAGAGTGGTGGTGCTCACTCAGTGCCTCCTAACTTTTTTGAACAACTCTTTGGAGACGCGAAAAGAACCTCTTTGATGTAGAAATGTCCATATAACATATTGCTTGGTGGAAGATTGTACATATGACACGAGTTTCGATTTTTCTAGTGGATATGCATATATTTGTATGCAAATATTTCATTGTTTTTAATTCCTAATGTTTTGACTCTTGAACAGCTAGTGGTGATTCCGTTGGTTATTGTCAATAAATAATACTATTAATTTTTGTCAATAAATTATTGTTTGGTTATTGATAGATTTTTGTTTGAAATCTTGAAATGTACAAGTTTAGTAAAGTCTCTAAGTTTGTTTTATTGTTTATCTATTCATTTCAGCTGTGACATAATAATTTGATACAATGGTTTAATACATTTTAAGTATTTTGCTCTATCTTTGCGACAAAAGAGTAAATATGTATAAAAAATTATGCTTATTTTGCTTACTGCTTCCAAAAAAATAGGTTATTTTAAATTAAAAAAACTTATAACCGTTTCTCTACAGATAATTTAAGCTTAAATTTTTAAAACCACTGGTAAATTGTTTTGATTACTTGTTACCAGTTAAAATATTATTTTATTTTTTCAATTATTCACATTTGTTTTATAGTTATTTTTTCAAAGTAAAGTGTATATTAATTATATCATTAAACTCCAAGTTAGTAGATTAATAGAATTCTCAACTAAAACATTACTGATTATATATCTAGTGAATAAATAATAAAACCAAAATTATCTAACTAACTAATAAATTTCTCATTTTTTTTTTTAGTCTTCATTATACAAAAATATTATCACTATTCATGAGAAAAAATTGTTTTGATTAATATTGAGGCATGTGAGTAGGCTTCAACGCTAAACAGATTATAATAATATAATATACTCAACAGATAGACAAGCACATTATCACTCTTAAACACAAGCCTCCTCGCTGATTTTATTACTAGTATAAAGATTACGAATACTATTAAGTAAATACTCAAGTTAAATACTAACCATAAATAAAGCAGACTTCACATTTTGTAATTCTTATGTATATAGTGTATAGTACTATATAAGTGGTTAGTGTATAAACATAAACTAATATACTAAATTGAAATGTGTAAATATAACATTTTGCTTATTTTGATTTTAGTATTTATTAAAAAAATATTGTACGATTCAATTTTCAATAATAGCTTACTCCAATTACTACCAATTCTAAATTTTAAAATTAATTCATAGCTTTTTACCTAATCAAATTTATGATATAATACAATTGTGTATTTAATACGTATTAGAAATTAGAATATAAACTTAAATTTAACTAATTTGTTTAATAATTAATGTTTATGTTTTTATAGGACAGTGACTTCTCGTCTTGAAATTATTTGGAAGCAAAGTTCTGCCACATTGTTATCAATGATCTTAAATTATTATTTATACTCAAAAAGGTTTTATCAATTTTACTACTATTGTATTTTTTATTTTTTCCATCCTAATGGATTAATATTATATAATACTCTTGTGTTATTAATGTAAGCATTACATTTTATTATGTCAATAAATTTTAAATTTTCCAAATAAAACTAACTAAAAAATTGTGAATTGTGGTGTATAAATTCTTAAAAATAATATAAATACCAGCGCTATAGAAATGTATAGTAACTATTTTAAATTATCCTTATAGTGTGAAACTATTAATTTCCTTAATTTCCTTTTTAAACTGTGGTTACATGTAAACTAGCCATGTTATGTGTTCCTATCCATTATTTTATGATTATGAATAAATATAGCATTTATGGACTCATCGGGAAACATATCTTTAACGGCTTATGTAAAAACAAATTAAAATAAATTGTTAATTATATAAATTTTAAAATACAATCATTGATACAGCATATTACTAGGTTATGTTACTTATATTGAATGTAAAATAGAATTTGATTTTTTTCATTTAGTTACACACCGATTAAAATATAAGAAATTTCTAGACGACCAAAAGCCAATTTATCTCCTTCCTCTATCCATATTGATTTTTTCTGCTATTCTAGTGTCTATCGTCAACTTTATAATAAGGTACGTAGCACGTTTAGCATCAAATGATTTTCCGTGTCTACATAACATATCCTTATACAAAAAAGTAGACATACATTAGTTAACAGACATTTTCTTAGATAAATAATGACTCAACTAATATTTTTTTTGCTCTGCATCCTCGTCGAGTTTTTTCAACTCCTCCAAATTCGTGACAGGCACTTTGAATAGTGAAAAATCATATGGATTTGAACTTGTGGTTGTTAATTGTTGAATTCTTATTGTATCTACTATTTCTATAAGTGTTTCTTGATTTTTATTGACATCAACTTTAATAATATCTGTCCCTTTTGTATATTTGACATATTTCTAGTAACTTAATCACAAATTGTGTCAGGCAAGTTTAAAATATTGTTGTATTACATTTTTGTTTATATGAAAAATTGAATATAATGAAATAATTACCATTCATCAGAACATGGCCTAAATGCTGAATAGTGAATACTGTTCATTACTTCTGATAATTATAATTTGTACATTTTCCATACCTACCACCATCTGTATTGCTTATAATTGAGTTGTGTATTAGCTTTAAAAATAATATTACAAATTAAATCATTAAAAGCAGAATTTCAGTAATTTATCAGCTCAATAATTATTAATTTAACATACATATCTCATCAGTGTCAGAATCGATCTGAGTTAACTGTTTTTTATTTTCAAACATTCCAGTAGAAGTAATAAAGTGGTTTTCATTCATATTAAACATAACCAAACACAATATAATGTAATCATATTATTTATATACTATTAATTTGTTATAAGAAGCCATCTTGTAAAATTAAAGTCCCCACACACTGGAGTGGTAGAGTTAAATCCTATTGTCTTACCTTCACCTGCATTGATTTAACGCCACCGCTCCAGTGCAACATGTGTGGGGACCTTAATACTAAAATATATTGTTTTTCTATTCCTACATCAAAGAATGGGTGAATCCAATTTTTGTGTAAATTTAATCAATCACCAATAAAAAATAAACAAGTTAGGTATGTAAAAATGTATTATAACTTAGTGGAAAACATGGATCAGACAATTGAGTTATGAACCAAAAATATTCAAGAATTTTTATGATAAATCAAAATAGTAGGCAAGTTTATCGATAAACTAAGCAAGCTGTTACTCAGCAATGTGTAATAGACTTTAACCAATAATCACTCACATAATTTCCATATAAAATATGCAATGTATTACATGACAATTAAAAACTACTTTTAGGCTTCTGAACATCATTTAGTTCTAACATATTATTTGAAAACAAGGATTGACTTGTACGCAAACCACTGTTTGAGAACCACTGGTTTAATGTATCAAATACTAGGTAATAAATAATTAGTAAATAATAACCAATAGTAAATAATAACCAATAGTTAATATTTAATCAATTAAAAATCAATTAATAAGTGATAAAGTTATCGATGATGTAATATCTTGAGAATTGAATACGAACTTCTTTAAAATTTGTTATTAAGTTATTAAAAAGAACACAAGAGGGCAAATCCATAATATAATTTTTCATTTTATGAACATTTGAAGTTAGAATTTTGTCAAAATTTTGAAAAATTCCAACTTATGTTTTAGTTAGAAACGTACACAATTTTCACATTCATGAATACCATTTTAAAATTGATCACAAGGTTCCAAATAAGTCGTTATTGTAGCTAATTAAAAATATTATAGATACATAAATCTTTTTTTTATAAGCTTTCAAATGTTGACTATATCAGTTTAAAAAAACTGTACTAGAAAACTTTTCGACATACTGTCGAACTGTCGAAGTTTTGCACTGGTACTTTGTATTTTTGGCATTTTATTATTGAATGTAAGTAAGTACGCAACGAAATCAATACAGTCCGCAAACAACACGTCACCGTATCACTACACACGATATTCGACGATGACTGTCAAAATATTTGTGAAACATTTAATTTCTTTAGGTCATGGTCATGGCACAACAAATGACGGTAACACAGCACAAACAATTTTTAGAAAACCTGATATTTCAGCGGCTCGCACTGGAATTAATGTAGACTTAATACAACGATGCAGGAACATACTTTTGGCCATGGCAAGTGGACACATAATAAATATTGACTAGGTACTTTGAAGAGTACTGTTTAATAACAGCAAAAATGTTTGTGTCATTGTATCCATGGTAATGCATGCCTGCAAGTGTACATAAAGTTGTATTACATGGTGCAGCCGTTATACGCAGTGTCGGCCTGGGCTATGTCATGTTTTGACACTAACCTAACCTAAGTCATGTTTTGTGATATCTTACATAAATATAAAATATATACATTATACATGAATATTTTTGTAGCATATTAATTAATGTATTATTGTTATATACAACATAATTTGACTTCATACATACACAACATTATATTATAGAAAATATATATTTAAAATTAAACTATTATTTTATTATTATAACAAATGTGTACATAATATTTCTTAATTAAAAAATAGATGAATTTTATACAAGTTTGAATTACATACTCTTTATTAGGTATTAAAATTTACTTTTTCTTTTTTAATAAAATTACCTTAAATTCACTGATACACTATTTAAATAATTATATTCTACTAATTAACCGACTTGGTTAATTTTATAATAACAACGTTATATTGTATGAGCGTTAACATATTATGAAAAACATGTAGTATCCAAAAATAGAACAAAAATAATTTACGAAAAATCATAAATACTCGTATTTTTAAACCATTATGATGCGATGAGAGAATTTAATGTTGCATGACAACAAAACACCTAGAGAATACTTGCATTTTAAAAACAAAATTATTCCTATAAACCGAAAGTATTCAAATATTCAATGTTAATAAGTTTTTATCCTTTAAACTCTTTTTGCTCATTAATTGTATATATTTGTGCGAGACCCAATTATCAAAATTTAATCGCACATGTGTGTAATGACCTAAAGAGCCTTTAACAATACTTAGCACCCTGGGCTATTAAGTCCCCGTCCATCACTATTTGAGGCGCCTATATGCTAGAATAAAAAAAAAAAGTGAGGGCCTCGGCAGCGTTCGCTGACTCGCTGCCCTGGCCAGGCCGACACAGGTTATACGATTTATACGATAATGGCCAATATTTTAAACGTATAAGAAGCTCAAGGAAGTCGGAATAATGAGTACAAGGTGTAGAGGGAGCATCATACGAGAAAAAATTCTAGATTAAATACGAATGAAGATTTAATGCATACTTTATTATTTACGTCCGATCCATATATATAATCCTTGAGAAATATTCCTAAAAAATATGCACAATAATTTTCAGAGGACATTAAAAAACTTTTAAACCCGATCGATTCAAATATTAATGAAGAAATTATGATTGATTTAAATCAATCATTAACAGAAATTAATTTGTCAGATTAAAGTAGATTTAGTTGTTGTATTTCTATATAAATGATGTACCTACGTTCTGTATATTATATTAATAATCTTTGTAGTTCAATAACGATTTAAATAAAATTATGTAAAATAAAAACGAAAAAAAAATTTCTGATTAAAAGTGAGTACCTATTTATTTTAGGAAAACTTAACGTGTACCTTACAAAAGCAATTTGGCGCAAAATATTTTTATTTTTTATTTTTGCTGACAACTTGTGCTATAAAATGTATGCATTGAATATTACGTAAAATTGCGTAATTTTTAGTTGTAGGTATACTGTGGTACCAAGCTCTTCCAAAAAGTCATTGTCGTTGTGACAAGGCGGAGGGTATCTTCACGACAACTAAGACTCCAAGAAGGATATTAAAATAAAAAAGACAAAACAAGTTGTAGGTTGAATGGTAACACCGGATTGAGGACGACTCGGTCGGTGCAACTTAGACACGAGGTATCACGATGTTAAGACCAGACAAAAACGGAATGTGTACGCTAATACAACCGTCCTGTTGGCTGTTGGTAGGTCAGGGCAAAAGAGATCGACATTCGTTTTGCCGTTGGCGTCGTAGCCGATGGTTAGGGAGACAAAATATTAAAATAATTCACGACAGCTGTGACACTGTACGATTAAAAATACAATGTAATTTGTAAAAATGACAATAAATAATTGGTACAAAACAAAATGATACAATTGACAAATGACAAAATAGTAGGTACACGACATAATATCGGTCGCGATATTGGTGAGAAACCCTTTTGTGATAGCAGCGCGTTCGCGGCGACCTCATAAGTCATAACAGGTATGGAGGAGAGGCATGTGATGAGAACACGTCCGTTGTCTCCACAACCTCTTAGTTAAGAGGATTTCGGCAATTTTGTCGGTTTCATAATTCTTATATTGTAGGAATAATAATAGTTAGTCATCTACCTAGTATTTTTATAATATATTTGTGATTTGGCCGTAGAGTAGTTCCATGGATTCTACATAACGAAGGCTAACAACAATGATAATAATGATATAAAAACCAAATATTCAAGAAGGAATATTTTTGCGGTAGGTACAAAAAATTATTGCATGATAACAGTGATACTGAGGGTCAAAGTGTATTATCTAATATCTAAGGTTTATGATTTCATTTTTTGTTTCATAACTCGACAGTTGATGAAACTAGTGCGAAGCTTGCAAACTTCTAATTGAAAATATATAATTGAGAAATTAAAATTACTTGGGGAGTTGGATAATTACATGACACAGTTGGTTATTATAAAGGATTTCAAAAAAACTGGATTAGTTCCAACATTGAGACAAATCAAAATAATTGAAAACTGTTGCTCATTATTTTTGCCATTATGTGGAACATTGATTATGAAAACATTAAAAAGTAAGTTGACAGAATATAAAACTTAAGTAGAGAGAATTATGTCTATAAGTATATACAGTTCACTTTTTTACTTTGACTGCAAAATGTTAAATGTTATCACAATATCTTACTATGTTAACATGTTATTAGTTATGATTTCTGATTAATTTTGTAACAGCACATAAAGTCAAATTAAAAATAAATATTAGATATTTATGGTCTTGTTTTACTTACAATCAGTCTATATTTATTTGTATATTTCAATACATAAAGCAGAATTTCACTGTAAACTTGTACTAAACATATATGTGTTTTTGAGTCTCCTACATCTTTTTAAATAATCACTTTTAATGTTTAAGTATAATCAACCTTAATGTTTTGAGTTAACTACTACTTGCCACTTGGCATTCTCTTCACCTACTAACGAACATCATTTTCAAAGTTAATATCCATTTTTACCAACACCCAATTTTTTTTTCGGTTCTCACTTTCTCAACAAATAATAATTCAAAGTAACCATTACATAGTATTTCTATAGCCAATTATTGCTCTCCTTTTCAATTTTGTAAATACTTGAGTGTTTTAAAATATTACAATATCGTATTTTAAATGTTATTAGTTACCTATTTGTTATTGTATTAATGTTGTGTTTACACAATTTATGTTTTGAATATATTATTTTCTTTCGAATAAGTGTATCATTGTTTATATTCAAATTTCTTGTGTTTGAATAGTTAACTTTTACTTAAATATCAAATTTCATTGTAAGTACAAACCAGTTGCTTAATTTTATTTGTAATAATTGTTGCCCAAATATTTAAAGGCCTTTTTAATGATGTTTTTTTTTTTAAAGTAGATTATTGATTATTTAAAATTAGGATATTGTATTTTAATTTAATTTTTAGTTGAAATCCACAGTTCATGGAAAGTTTTTGATTATTTGATTCAGATACATTGTAAGATATAATAATAACTTGTATAATGAATAGTTTAAAGTTTAAAATTTAAATTAGTTTCTATTAAACTATAAGTAAATTTTTATCAAGTTAAAAAAAAATAGCCAGCAATATAATAGTCATAACCATAACAATATTATTTTAATTTTTTTTTATGTTTTCTAGGTATCCTTCTGTGAAATGTGCTTTATGTGGATTTTTTTTTCGTCATAAAGCAAGTCTGAAAATCCATCTAGATTCTATGCATAATAGAAGTAAAACCACATCAGGCAGTATAGCAAAAATACCTAGAAAATGCACTGATTTTCTATGTTTGGAAAAAGGATGCAAATGTAAATTTCATGATAAACAGCTCTTTATTAGTCATTTAAAATTTGACCATTGTTTTGAGTTTGACATACGCTCTTTGAAGTTCGCATCAGAAGATGGTAAGACATTAGACTATGAATAATGTATACACGTTTATAATCTGTTTTGTGGATTAAGAATTGTGTTGTTAACTTAGTAATTAATAGAAAATACATTTTCAGAATTTCTTACATGGAAAGAAGACTTTGAACAAGAAAATAAAAGTTGTTACATCATCACAACTGGTAGCAAAATACTTCAGGATGATAAAAAACTTACTTATTACAAGTGTAATCGGTCTAAACATTTCATTAGTAAGTCCAAAGGAATACGAAAGCGAAGTACTCCAGTTACAGTAAATGGATTATGTACAGCATCTATTAAAAAAGTCCAAAACAAAGATGGCTCTGTTGAAATTTTGTTATGTGGTACACACTATGGTCATGACATATCATCTGAACATATGAGAATGACCAAACGTCAACGAGAAGAAATTATTGAATTAATTCAACAAGGAGATCATCCAGATCTTGTCATCAACGCTGCTCGTGCCAAGGCATCAGATTCACTGGGAGGTGTTAATATGTTAAACAGAAAAGATATTAAAAATATTGAACGTAAATTGGGAATTAGACATCCAGAATTAATAAAACAAAAGACAATTATTGATCTTAACGCAGATGAGTGGATTATGAAATTACAAAGTACTCCTGATAATCCTGTATTGTTCTATAAGCCTAATAATGTAGCATGTGAAAACTTTCAACCTCAGGATGTTATGTTAATATTTATGACTCAAAGTCAGTATAATTGGATAAATAAATTTGGAACTGATGGAATATTCATGGTGACTGAAATGAGTATGGTTTCTGCTCAATTATACTTGACTGTAATGTGTGTGTGTGATGAATTCAATGTGATGGTTCCAGTTTGTTTTATGATGTGTAATCGTAGTAAAATGTATCAATCATTTTTTTTAAATACAATTTTTAATAAAATGGGCCCCATTTATGCTAAAGCATTAATCACTGATGACAACCACGACTTGTATGAAAGTTGGTGCTCGATTATGTCACCAGTTAAGCATGTTATTAATCAAAGATACATTGATAATCAAATAATAGAAAAGCTTCAAACTGATATTGAAGATCAAGATTTACAACACGAAATTTATGAAAAAATTTGTTCACTTTTTAATGGATCTGATGAAAGCATGAAAGAAGAAATTATAAATTATACTAAAAATAACCTTAAGATGAACAATGTTACAAAACCATTTGGAATATTTTTTGATGAGGTGTTTGTTAGTAGAGCAGATATGTGGGCTTTCTGTTATTTAAAAGAGTCTCTAAATTTAAATCAAATGATAAACATTAACTCAGCTTATAACCAAATGATGGTACTTTGTGAAAACAAGAAAAAACGTTTTACTAACAATTTGTCAAATAATATGAACATTTTCTTCACAACTACCTTAGAAATACAGAAAAATAGAAAAACAAAAATTGAAACAATCAATAATAAAATTTACAGCAATCACAAAAATGCAATGTGTTATCCATCTACACTTATTTCCCCCCTCTCTAATAATAAGTGGCGGGTTGCATTACAAGGCGGTATAAATAATGATCATGTGATTATAACTCGAAAGTTTTGTAAAATTATTGATTGCACAGTCAAGTGTCCAGCATGTTATAACATCTGTGCTCATATTTACGAATGTTCATGCAGACCAGGAGAAATTACTATATGTAAACATGTTCATATGTTAGGAATCTTAAACAAAAGGTCCTTAATTGATATAAACAAAAGGAAAGAAAAACAACTTGATGTCGTTAACAATATGCAAACAAAAATTTTGTTAAAATCAAAACTAGTTTTTGGCAATATAGATTTTGTGAATGATGAAGAACTGCTCAGAAAAATTAGAGCTTTATTAAGAAGGGTAGAAAATATTGTTGATGAAGTAAAAAATTCTGATGATTAATTACTAGAAATTACTCAGTATTATTAAGCATTATCATAAGTTTTATAAAATTAATTGTATTAAAGTGATTCAATTCTAATCTTTAGCTTTTGTATGCTTTTAAAATGTCAAGTGTTTCCTATTTCCTTTGGGACTTCTGTCTTTAAATGTCTTATTAGTTATTTACGGTCTACAAATGACTTTTTTTTGCGAATAATATTAGCACTATGATATAGTCATCAACAGTTGAGTTTTCTTGTGGCATAAACCTAGAATTTCAATATCTATGTATAGTACCAACTATCAATAATAAACTATGCAAAACTTAAATAAAAATTATGTATTATTTAAAGAAACTCATTTACTCATCCCGTTTCATTATTATATAATCTACTTATAAGAATATTATTTAAATAAATAAAATATGAACTTAAATTTATTTTTCAATTAAGTTTTAATTTAAACTTAATGCATGTATTAATACTATAACCTTTGTATCAGTTTATAAAAAAAAAATAATAGTAATTTTGTTTGTCAGATATCAAATAATAAATATGGTATTATAAATATGCATTTATTCTAATCAACGCTGTTAAATCAGTGAAAAGTTGTGTATGATCACTTTATTAAGTATTGAAAATCATTCTAATTAAAACTCGGTTCACAGAGCAGTTGATACCATTATTATATTTTAAAAATATTCTATGGTTGTCAGTTTTTCCTAATGTTTTAAACTAACTAGAGAATTAAAGAAACAGTTTCTTCCAAGTGTCTAGGTGCGTATTGACTGATATAAACTTAAATCTCATGAACTACTTGAAACTTCTTAATGGAAAATCAACAAAAAATATATTTTACTAATTAATAAATATTAATAGCACAACACACCGACATTATTTGTACCCGTCTTACAAATGCACAACACTGAACATTTAACGTTCCAAATAGTCAATTCCACTAAGTTAATAATAAAGTTAGAGTGAATTTACATATACAGTTTAAAGGTATGATTATTATCTCTGGCATCTCTGAGACTTATTGATATTATTATAATTTTAAATTGTTCATAACCGGCAGAATCCTGACTGACAGTGTTCAGAATCTAATGTATTATGCATATCGGCCTAAACCCCAATCATAATATGTATTAACAAATTAGTAGTTAGTTAGTTAGTTGTCGGAGTACCCTTAAAGCAAGTACAAATAAGTAAATAATTGCGTATATCGCTAGTAGTATATGTATAGTAAGCTAAAAATGTGGCCTACTATACTTATACTAATAACATTGAGTGGATCGAGCAACATACTTTGTAATAAAAATTAACTAATGCTTCTAAGATGCATTGGATAAAAATCTTACTTTTAAATATGTTAAATACTTATAAATTATAATAGTTTAATAAAAACAATTTTATAAAACTTTTATTTTAAAAATAAGAGAATTATATTAATTATTGTAAACGTACAATTAGATATGTTGTACGACTGTATGGCAGAGACAACACATGAAGGTTTGGTGTCTTCTAAATAATCTATAACAGTATAGATTATATTTATCCAGATAAATCAAACAAATTTGCTTTTATTAACCAATAGGTATACCTTGTAAACTGTACTCAACACAATATGTCTACTCAATGTCTCGTGAGACCAATCCGGAAATAGTTTTTGTTTAACTATGCATTGTTAAATACTTTAGTCTTTAAACTTCATGTTGATGTTGGGCCTCCGATATATTTGTTAATAATTGATAAGGGATAACATCATGTCGGTGGTCGATCTTCTAGAGAAATAAAACCACTAAACAAGTCGAGTCAAGACTCAAGATTGATTAGCCTCCTTTAAGTTATAAGTGTGGCTACTAAGAGTACTGTTTTGGCTTTCATAATCTATAATATTCTATAATATCAGCTAGGTAAGTGTAAATGTATTCAAATCATTTTTTTGCTATCAAATATATTTTTTAATATAATTAATTTTAAATATTTAAAAAGTATTTTAAACTCCTTTTATTTTTATATTGAATAATCGAAAAGAAAGCACATTTAGATATTAATAACTGCTGGTTACTGCATTTAGTGTCATAGGTATAATACATTTATTATAATAGATTTACTAACTTAAAATGTCAATAATCCACTATCCAGACTATCCTAACTCTAAAATTCAAAATAAAGATTTAACAAAATTATATTTATACATTTTCAAATCAATATTATATTATGCTTTGCTTAAAATTAATTTTTATAGTTAAAAGTCATTGAGTAACATTTCAAATACTTCAAAAATTATTTGACTTTTACTGAATTATACTGCCTAAAAAAATATTTGATTAGTATGCTGCTTTATTAAATGTAAGTATATTTTGCTTCTTAGCTATAAATTTTGATTATTTTCAGATTTGTTTGCAAGTAGGTGAGAGATTTTCCAAACGAGTGATAGATTTGTTAAAGTTATTTGTAAATTTTAAGTTCTAGTAATAATTTTTTCAATCATTTGAAAATGTCATTGTGTGTATACAACATAAAAATTTACTCTAAGTCTCCAGTACCCAGGAATATTTTTAAATTGCATCAAAATAGCTATAATCGGTATTCTTGGTTTTTTTAATGGAATTTCATCTAAATTTTAACTTAGAATGTATGTCAAAAATAACTATGTTTATATATTCTTTTAGATTTGTTAGTTACAATATGGACTATTTATGAGAATATTCTTGTCTTATATTTTTAATTCTTAGCTATAAAAATTGGACATTTTATAGCTTTTAAACCACAAAATAATTCGAAAATTGTAGACATTTTGATAAATGTTATTAAAATTTGAGCTTTACACTTATGAAAAAAACATACTTATGTATCTTTAATATTTATCAAAAATGCTATTGTAACAATTTTTAAGGATCTCCCTGTATTACATTTAAAGTTTTTTGAACCAACGAATAAAATCTTATTGGCATTTATAGTATAAAAAACTAAAAAATTTCAAAATTCAAACGGCTATAAATAACTTAAGACATGATATTTTGTGTACATAACATTTTATCATGGGGTATAGAATAAAATAAACATTTGATGAAACATATGAAAAACTGAAAAATTATCTACGATTAGTAGTTTGGAATAACAACAAAATAATAAAATTGTTGTACGAGTATTTGTGGATTTATTCTCATTGTTTTTCCTCTATCGACTTATGAGTTATGAGGGACGTTGTATTACATTTTCAAGTTTTATAACCAAGCAACATTTTTTTTATCAGCAATAGTAAAATAAACTAATACAACTTGAAATTGTCTTATGCCTATAAATAGCTCAAAAAAAACGCAAATGTATTGAAAATGTTGTGGTATATAGAAATTGCTAATATTAATATTCAGAGAATATTATTTTAACGTATCTAAGATTTTTTTGTTTCAGTTACACTCTTCTCTCTCACGGGTTTTATAAAAGTGGTTTTGCGGAAAAATCTCAGTTTTTCCTTAACTTTTCATTTCTTTTAAAGCTTTTGAAATTGATTGAGAATATTTACTTTTAAATTAAACATTATTTATCATCCTGATGTTACCTGTTTATTAATGATACAAAGAAAAATAGCACTTCGGGTTATGTTAATAACAAAAATAAATAAGGAAAATTTAAACGTTTTTTTATGATGCCGTGATGGGTCGTTACTGCTGTATGCGTTAATCGTTACAAAGTAAGTACCTAATAAATAGTGACGATACAATTGGTGGAGGTGAATCGAGTAGTAACCAGTACTTACCTACGTTACCTATACATTATAATGGTCGTTACACGTTCGTTTCATCGGTACAAACATATAAACTACCTATTAAATGGTCTTCGACAAACATTTGTTCACTTTGTACAACAATTACTTGGTCAACAACAAGTTACAATTTATTACTACCTAACCTACTTTCTTTTACTTAAACTCGCAATAATTATTAAATCCAATAATAATTTTATAATTTTGTAAAGTAAAAATAAATAGTATTATTTTATTAATATGTAAGGTATTTTTTTTTCAAATCTGTTAGTTTAGCTTACATTGTTTTAAAGTTTATTATTGCATTATACATTCATAGTTTATACGCAGCAAAAAAAAAAAAATTAATCATTATAATCGTTTCATTATTGTAACTTAGTCGAATGTAACGAAACTTCCCAAAATCCCAACACTACTAAGGGGATTCGGTATCGTGATTTTCTGTCTTTGTCTATCACACGTGAGACATAAGATTTTAGACGTATTATTTTCCAAACGCGCCGACTGATATAGTAAAGCGATAAGAATTCTGAAAACATATTTGAATTTGTCGTCAAGTCTATTTGAGATCGACTTTTCCTCATTTTTGATTTTTTGATTTTAATTTCTCAAAAAATTGAAACGCGAGAATTTGTTAATTACTCTTTTTTAATATAACGTCCCTAGAAATTAATGGAATAATGGATGATATTAAAAATGTGGGAAAGCTGATCTCAAGTAGTCATGACGAAAAATTCAAATCTGTTTTTAGAATTGTTATCGCTTCATTAGATAAATTGGTACGTTTGGCCAAATACTATAGTATTTGGTTTGGCAAAGGACACGTCTAAAATCTTATGTCGCGGGTGTGTTAGACAAAAACAGAAAATCACGGTATCGACTATCGAATCCCCATGAAACTGTGTATAACCACAGATATCTATATTATACATTAATATAGATATCTGTGTGTATAACTCGCTGATAGTTGATAAAAAAAACACCTCGTCGATGATAACAGGACGTCGGAATATCTGCGCGTCATGGAGTAATCAGAATAATGATAACACTATTTAGTATATTTTACTTCATGACAATATTGTGGCGAGCCGCCGCCATATAATTTCCCACCGGCGTCAGTGGCATAGTAAGACGGTTGGTCACAGTGATCCCTGGCGGGCGACGGCTGCCACGCTCGGCGGCTGCCGGTCTCGAATATTATCCTTTCCGATCGCGCCTGCGCAACGCACGCTCTCCTCCGTCGTTTAACGCATCGTTCTGTCCCCGGAAAATAAAAGTCCTTGTGACCAACCGTCCATTTTCGACCGTACGTATCCGACACTACGTCACGTCTGTTGTAAGCTATTCTTTCTTGCAAATAAATTAGCATTGTATTCTAACCTAGTCTAGTTCCCTTCTTTCTCTAGAGTCTACACTCAGGTGCTTCGTGGGTAACGATCGTAACGACGACGTTGGAGGTCTCAAGTGATAGTACCTCCACAATATCGTATTATAATTTATCAGTACTCACGACTGCAGTATGGAATTCTGCTAGTTCGTTCATTATTAAAACCGGACACTTGGCGTTTACTGTCTACGATTCGACTATATAGTTCATTTTGATTATTCGTTGATAGGTACATTGAATCCTGTTTATAAGGCCAAAATTGTTCCAAGTACGTAAATAACATTTTAATTTTTTGAAATTGTTGTTTTAAAAGTAATTTATTTCAATGAATATAAATACTAGTGGTGTTTTTGAGGGTATATGGAGATATATGGCATATGGTAATTTACTATTTGGTGGGTTAGCGGATAGTAAAAATAGTGAAAATACGCATGTATACCTATTTCCTAGCTATCTAAAAATCTGTAATTCAGTATTTTGGATTTGAGTATTATTATTTTAGGTTTTATGACATTTATGAATTATCTATTACGTATAACCTTTTAGATTGGTTGAACGGATGATATAAGTTTATACCCATAGTTGATCATCGTTTGTGACCCTAGATATTGCAGTTTTTTTTTGATTAAATGTTCAAGTTGCTGCCATCACAAAGTAATAAATATTGACAAGAGATTGCCAATTTTATCTAGTCAAATATTATAAAATGTTAAATCTGACCTGTGAATAATAGTTCTTGGCTTTTTGAAGGGTTGAATCTTATTAATTTTGCACTTATAAAATTACAATATTCGTTGCATGTTTTCATCATCACCTTAAATCAGAGGTTTCCAACCAAGGTGCTTCGAACTTAGATTGAGGAGGCCATGTAATTAGTTGAAATATATTTTTTAAGAAATAAAAAATTTAATGAAACAGTGTATGTGAGTAATTTCATAAATTATATTAAACCTTATATTGTGTTTCAAATAATTTATAGTTATACTGCAATATTCAATCTATTTTAATTTTCATACCGGTTTGATAGCTATCGGTTTAATGTGGATTGTTATGAAGTACAGTGAAATAGTTGTGACTTTATCTTATTTCTATTTTATAAGATATTTAACGATAAAAGAACAATAGTAATTTAATAATATTCTAACAATTTCACTATGATTTGTCTGGTCTTTCATATTCAAGGCTTAAATTCATAAATGAAATGAACCCTATAGATTTTTTTTTCGGAAACACCACTTTAGATACTAGTTATTAGGTATTGAACTATAGTAATATTTAGTAAATTGTTCAACATCCTTTATATAGGTACTTTATATACTTACCACAAATTCACAACAATATGACTAATACAAATATAATAATATTATTTATGCTCAATAATATTAAATATTATACCTAGCTTATATTAATTATTATTTACTATGTTTATGTATTTATTTTTATACTTTTGAATCGTTCACATGGCAAAAATATTTATGATTAATGAAAAGATTGTTATACAACTTACCTACTTTCCAAATCTCAAAAATAATTTAGTTCTATAATATACATATAAATTACACATGCACCTTGGGGGTTTTTCCTTAAAAAAAAAATTGAGACAGATAAATCTTATATAAATATAATTTTTCAACTAAAAAAAAACATTGTTTTGTTGTGTAACATGCAAACTAAAAAAAATATTTTAAAGAATACAGTGCAGTGAGCATGAGTATTACTATTGATAAAAACAATAATGGAACAAAAGGTTTTAAAATATAACCAACACTGACTATTTTGAAGATATTTTTACTTGAAATATTCAGTTAGTTAATTATTAGTTTCTAAATAATAAAAAGGTAGATTTTTGTTTTAGTTACAGACAAGAAATTGTAGGAAATAAAATATATGTACCTACAAATCCGCAACCTTCTTTTTTGTGGTTCCCAAGCTTTCCAGTTCCTTGTTTACTCTATCGAGCCATTGGGCCTTCCTCTAGGCCTCTTGCTTTTGGGTTTATTGATTAGTACTTTATGAATTAGCTTATCCTTTGTCCTATGTACAAGTCCACTCCACTCCAGCCTTTTAGTTTTCAGACATGCTTGTATGTTTGGTTTATTTAAAATGCTTTCTTTGTCCTCATTTTTTCTTCTTTCATAACTTCCTATTTAGTGTGGGACCATATTATGTCTTCCTTAATATTTTCCTCTTGAATATTAAATGTTTTAGTTCATCGCCTCTTGTCGACCAGGTCTCATAAGCGTAAATCTCAATAGGTCGTAGTAGGCTATATAAAGCTTCGTTTTAGTTTCTCTTGATAGTAACATGCTACTCATTTGCTTGATATCCTCTATTTACCGAACCAAGTCTCAGCCTAATTTCAATGTGCATGACATTTTTTTGGTTTATATTAACTCCCACTTATTTAAAATCTTCAACTTGTTAAAATAAGTATTGTCCAACCCTGAGACTTTGCATAACTGTTGGCTTTCTCGTAACTATCATACTTCATTTTGTTTTAATTTCATGAACTCAAAGTCACATTTTTATTACAAACTAAGAGTAATTATTGTTGTTAACTCAACCTACCATTGTAAAATAATAGTAAAAAAAAAATGTTAAAAATTAACTAAATGGATTTTGTTCATTTTTGTTTCAGATTAAAATTTTGAATATGCTGCGTGCAGATCGCCAATCTGATTCTGATGAAAGTCTAGATTCCTTTCCTAAGAAAAAAACCAAAATGTCAGGCATAAATGAACCATCATTTGATAGAGATATTTCAGTTGATGAAGATAGTCAAAATTATGAAGAAATTGAAATGGACAATTATTTTGATCACAAAAACCAACATTTGAACAATATTCAGAATGTATCTTCTGGAGTATCTGATGATGATGATTATAATTTTTATAACTATGATGATAGTGAAAGTGAAGATTTTGTACATATTTCTGATGGGGAATTTGAATTAGAAAAGCATGTAAAAAATGAAACAAATTTTTATACTAGAGGTGATGAAAAAACTGATGTCGGATTTGTCAAAGGTGTTGATGGTGGTGTCAACTTTTATAATAATGGTGAAGAAAAAATGACTAAGACTTCTAAATCCATAGAAATAGATAATGATGAACTATATGATTTACTAGACAAACCATATCAAGACAACAGTAAAACCCACAGTGAACTTAATAAGAAAGCTGTTACTCAATATGACTTTGAAGATTACGAAAAAACTGTACTGGAGGAAGTGTGTAAAAATCCTTTTGATATTTTGCCTGAAAATTGGATTGAAACAATTCATAAAAGTGGCATGCCTATTTATTTACATACAAAAAGTAGAGTTGTAACATTATCTAGACCTTATTTTTTGGGACCAGGAGATCCTAAATCACATTTAGCCCCATTATCAGCAATTAGTTGTTTACAATATCAAAAAGGTCTGGAAAATAAAGAAATTATAAAAAATGAACCTGATTTTCAGGTTAGTAAGCTTGGAGATATAATTATACCAAATGCTAAAGTGGAGACTGTACAAGAAAATATTATTAAAGAATCTTTAACACATATGGAATTACGAGTATACTGTCAATCACTGTTTAAGTAAGTTAATTCTTGTTACTTATTTTAATCATCATATAATTGTTCTGATTTAATCATTTTTATTTTATTTAATGAAGTGTAATTTTACTTATTTTTCAGGTTCAAGATTAAAGAATCTCCAAGTAAAACACAGAAAGAACAAAACATAAAAACAGAAATTTCTAGTGGCACTCTAAAAAACACCAATGAAAGACCTTCGCTTCCAGCTAGCACTAAATTTATATCATTTCCAGTTCAAAGCAAGGACAGTGATAAAAGATATAATCGTCGTCGAGAATGGATAATGAATCCGAATGGTAAAAGTTATGTCTGCATATTACATGAATATTTACAACAAGCATTGAAAACCCAACCTTGGTATGAGTTTAAAGAACTTGAAAATACAGATACCCCTTATTCTGCAACTGTTGTGCTTAATTATGTTAAATATGGTGTTGGTTTGGGTAGTAGTAAGAAACAAGCAAAACTAAATGCTGCCCAAGTCACTTTAGACATACTCCTACCTGAAATGAAGAATAAAATGGATTCAAATATCAAAAACCAACGTGATTCAGTAATATTTGACCAAATTAAAGTCACGGATCCCAGAGTTACTGAATTCTGTTCTAAAACCACAGAACCAAGTCCATATGCTATGTTATTAGTGTGCTTGCAAAGAAATTTTAGTGAATGTGAAATAGGTATAGAATATAAATTGAACAATCGTCGTTTGATGTTTAACCAATGCACAATGACAGTTGGTAGACACACAGCTTCTGTTGCTTGTAAAAATAAAAGGGATGGCAAACAAAAAGCTTCCCAAATAATACTCGGCTTATTACATCCAGATATTGATAATTGGGGTTCGTTGTTACGGCTTTACGGTAACCAGAGCATTAAGAATGCTAAAGAAAAAAAACAAGAACAGCAAGAAATCACTAAGCTCCAGAGGAAAGCTGCTAAGAATCAACCGAATTTTGCTATACTAAATAAACTCAAAGAAGAAATGTTAAAAATTAGAGACCAAAGAAAATTAAAAGAAACTAATGAAATATTAGGATTACCTCAGACATTGCTTGATACAACTTGTCTATATACCGTAGCAACTCCATCATCATCCACAAGTCCTAACTGACCAATAATTTTGATTACTTCATTTTCTATAATGTAGCGCTGCCAAAGTCACTTTATACACACCAAATAGGGTACACAGAACATACCATGAAGCCGATGATGTGATTATACCTGGTTATTTTTATCATTTTACTAATCTACTACCTTAGAGCCTACTTAATAAAAATTATTCCGTAATAACTAATAATTTTAATAATAAAATAAATACACTAAGTAAAATATGTACGAATCATAGTAGGTACTTTTTCCAGATTAATGTAGGCACACATCCATTTAAATGTATTTTTTTTTATGTGATTGAATTCAAAATAAATAATATTGAAAATGAAAAATTAAAGTACTTGACTTTTTCTTGTATTGAAAGAAACATGTGTATGGTTGTATCTATTTCCTTTAAGAAAAACTTATGTTGGGAGTAGAAAGTCACATACTACAAATTATTAATTTTACATATACTTACTGTGTTAAGGGAAAAGGGAATTATAACATTTATAAATCACTTAAAATTAATAAACAAGTGGATAAATTCATATTAAAATAATTTATAAAAATTAAATATTGCTGAACAGCTCAAGTTATAGTTTCAGTAGAAGCCAATTAAGTATAGTTATTTTTTTGATTAGTTATATGTAGAGCAATGACTTTCATGCACTAAAAAATCATCAAATATGCATTTAAAAACATAAACTTATGCATCAAAAAATTAAAAATATGCGGTTAAATATGCCCTTAAAAAAATTAATTTCATTATTATTCACTGTAAGTAAATTCATTTGAATTTTTTTTGAATGTCGGATCCCATTCTTCTTAATTATTATCCGTTGAAAATACAGATTCACTAAACTCGATTACAAAATTACACAAACAATAAGCTTTTGTCGAATTTTTCTTTTGGCATATTACTCACGAACGTTATATACAAATTAAACTCGCGGGACTTACACACCTACTAGAACTAATCTAATCCACCCACTGACTATGGATAGTTACTCGATACTATAAAATTTATCTCTATCGTCTTTATAAGTTTATAACAAATTGTTGATCTTGATTCATGGAAAATATTCACCAAAGTGCTTGATTTTCTATAAACCATCAAAATATGCACTAAAAGCTTAAAATATGCTTCTTCAATCAAAATTATGCCCCTTTAACCAAAAATATTCAAAATATGTAAAAATATGCACTAAAAACTTAGCTTTTGGTCACAAACGTTGTGAAAGGTATTGTGTACTTACTCTGCATACATTTAACTAAACCAGAAAAACATGCAAATGCATGAAAGTTCTTGCTCTAGTTATATGGTTAGATCTTAAATATTTTTTATATTGAACAGCATTGAGTCGAAAATATTGCGTCCTAAACAGTCGGTGAATCTTTTGCCAATATTTTTATTAGTGTTATTTTTTGAAATATTTTAATTTCATAATTACATTGGTACTATGTTCTATTATTTTTTTGATGTATATATATATATTATATATATTATTACTTTTGCTAGGAATTTATAGGAGCTTGTTTGTTTTCTAATATTAATTAAAAACATACCTTAGTGATAAAAAAATCAGTTTCATATTACCAGAAGTCAAGAGTAATATTTTTTTTAAATTTTTCGTATATTGTACATATTATATTAGAATTTAAATTTTCTTTAAATTAATTAAAAATAAAAACTGAATGTAGGTGTACCTAAAAGAATATTCAAAGATGTGGGTTATGTTTTTCACGTTTGTGGTACCATTTATATAGTTGAAATTATGGATAAAATAAAATTAGATTAACCACAGACATGCTTTTATGGATTTTAATCAGTATCATACAATGG